CTGTTTCACCAGTCTCAATTTATATACACACTCACACTTCCTGTTTCACCATACTCAATTTATATACACTCACACTTCCTGTTTCACCATCCTCAATTTATATACACACTCACTTCCTGTTTCACCATCCTCAATTTATATACACACTCACACTTCCTGTTTCACCATCCTCAATTTATATACACACTCACTTCCTGTTTCACCAGACTCAATTTATATACACACTCACACTTCCTGTTTCACCATCCTCAATTTATATACACACTCACTTCCTGTTTCACCAGTCTCAATTTATATACACTCACACTTCCTGTTTCACCAGTCTCAATTTATATACACACTCACTTCCTGTTTCACCATCCTCAATTTATACACACTCACTTCCTGTTTCACCATCCTCAATTTATATACTCACACTTCCTGTTTCACCATCCTCAATTTATATACACACTCACTTCCTGTTTCACCAGACTCAATTAATATATACACACTTCCTGTTTCACCATCCTCAATTTATACACACACACTCACTTCCTGTTTCACCAGTCTCAATTTATATATACACTCACTTCCTGTTTCACCATCCTCAATTTATATACACTCACACTTCCTGTTTCACCATCCTCAATTTATATACACACACACTTCCTGTTTCACCATCCTCAATTTATATACACACACACTTCCTGTTTCACCAGACTCAATTTATATACACACTCACTTCCTGTTTCACCATCCTCAATTTATATACACACTCACTTCCTGTTTCACCATCCTCAATTTATATACACACTCACACTTCCTGTTTCACCAGTCTCAATTTATATACACACTCACACTTCCTGTTTCACCATCCTCAATTTATATACACACTCACTTCCTGTTTCACCAGCGTGTTCTAAAGACACGAATTGGAAATAACACGATGAATGTATTAAGGAGGACATTTTATATATGTATAGAAAATGTATTGTCACACGATATTATCCATAATGCGGTGTTCTTCAGGAACGCAGCTACTGCATTATAGAACAGACTGTACACAAAACTACTTCCGGTTTCACCAACTTCAATTCATGTACAGTCACACCTCGGTATACGACCGCTTTGGAATACGTCGAATTTGGTACACGTTACGTCTTGACGAAAAATAACGTCTTGTGATACGATGTCTTGCTTGGGATACGACATCTTGGGGTACGACATCTTGGGGTACGACGTCTTGGGGTACGACATCTTGGGGTACGACGTCTTAGGGTACGACATCTTGGGGTACGACATCTTGGGGTACGACGTCTTGGGGTACGACATCTTGGGGTACGACATCTTAGGGTACGACATCTTGGGGTACGACGCCTTGCTTGGGATTCGACATCTTGGGATACGACATCTTGGGATACGACATCTTGGGGTACGACGTCTTATGATACGTCTTGCTTGGGGTACGACGTCTTGCTTGGGGTACGACGTCTTGGGATACGTCTTGGGGTACGACGTCTTGGAGTACGACGCCTCGCTTGCTAGAACTTGTCTGGGTCTGGATGAGTCCCAGCGTAGACGCCGTCCACGACTGAGACAAAGCGTCGCTCCTCCGTCTGCCTGTAGATCTCGTTCAGTGCACGACCCTTTTCTGTAACTCTCTGCGTGAATTTTCACGCGTTTCAACTCCTCTCAGCAAGTTAAAGTGACGTTACATTTTATTTTCATTTCAATTTATTTGATTTATGCATTTTTAGTAATAAGTAGCGTCTAAATTATTTTATAAAACCCCATTAATGTATAATATGCCGTATAAAATAAAATTTCTTATACTCTGGAACGGATTATTTCCTTTGCCTGTATTTCTTACGGGAAAAAATTCGTTTGGTAGACGTCCTTCTCGGCGTAAGTCCTCCTACCCCTATATACCGAGGTACCACTGAATCATGGATCTGGCCTCAGTCATACTCAACTCCTTATACGGGCAAAGGGGGGGGGGGGGGTGGAGCTACCTGGTTAGTGGGCGGGGCCAGTGAGGGGGGCGGGGCCAGTGAGGGGGGCGGTGCTGCCGGTTCCCCGTGGTGGTTTTCCATCAGGTTTTTTTTTATTTTGCGTGTGCGGGTTAGATCCCTTAAACCGTGTCATTAAACCGTGCCGTTAAACGGCATCGTCAGGAGCGGCATCGTCAGGCGACAGACAGAGCTGCGGGGAGAAATCCATCCCGATGAGCCTGGCTGCCTGTGCCATCACCCTCGAAGCGTATAAAACCAGGCGCGGGCAAAGCACGGCCCTTTCCGCCACAACACAAGCGGGCCTTCATCAGGTGAAGGGACGAGACGAGATTTGCGTTATTTTATTTTATCGAGAATTTTGTTATTTTATTCTCCTTCTACGTGGCGGTGACTTTACCGAAAGAAGCAAAGAGGATGAATCCTTGGCAGTCACGAAAGCTTCAAATAGAAACGTGTACGGCCCGTTGGGACTTTTAATCCGGCCCGCCGAACTTTGTCCAAATATTATTATTATTAAATTAAATTTTACCTTTCTCCTGTAATGCCCCGCATTTCCCCCATTAGATGGCGCACTTTGCCCTGCAAACAAATGCTTTGCTACCTGTTAGAAGGCCAAAACCCTTTCACGTAATGATTTTTGTACACGTCATTTATATTCAGTTCACACAAACGCTCCGTCCATCTGTTTCCTGGCCCCGGGCCCTCTCGGTCAAATTTGAGAAGCGCATTGTGGCCCGCGAGTCTAAACAATTTGCCCCACACCCCCCCCGGTATAAACGGTGCTTGCGTTAAAACTCGATTTGGGCGCTTTCGTGAATGCGGGAATTACGCTTTGGTTTTTCGGTAAAGTCGCGTAGAAAATAGGAAATAATAAAATGACATTGTAAACGTTTTGATTTAAAGCTTTCGTGAATGCAGTAATTCATATCCTTAGTTTTTTCGGTAAAGTCACGTTGAAGAGAAACAACAAAATAATAAAATATATAAAACAATAAAAAATTCTCACGACGTTTCGACCATAACTCAAACGGTCGTCTTCAGGTGTGTTGGTTCGCATAAATTTATTTTTAAACGGCGCATTTATTTATTTATAAAAACGTTAGCGCCACGCGCAACGATTTGGCAGTTTACCCAGGACTAGTCCATCTATATTCACGTCGGGTCATTGAGGGGGGGGGGGCACGTGCCACCCACAGTTCGATCACGGCCACCAAAACCAGTGACGATCATCTGAACCGGTCCTGGGCGTCCCCTAGGCCTTCACAAGTGCTGCTCACTAGCAGCACTTGCCCCTACAGTCTGTTCAGCCTGTATGGGGGATCTTTTCGTGTACGTGTGTACTCGTATGTGTGTGCAATTGTGTGTGCAATTGTGGGATGCCCTGGTGGTCCCCCTTTTTAAGAAGGGGGACCGCACAGACTGTAACAACTACAGGGGCATCTCACTCCTCAGTGTGCCGGGAAAGGTCCTGGCAAGGATTATTCAGCATCGCCTTGCCAGGCACGCTGAGGAGAGGCTTGCCGAGCCCCAATGCGGTTTCAGGAAAGGGCGGTCCTGCACAGATGCCATATTTTCTGTCCGTCTGCTACAGCAGAGGTGTAGGGAATTCCAACAAGACCTACATCTCTGCTTTATTGACCTGGTCAAGGCCTATGATACCATCAGTAGGCCTGGGCTCTGGGTCGTTCTGTGTGCTTTTGGAGTACCTGACCCTCTGCTCACGATCATTAAGGACCTTCATGATGGTGAGCGGGCCCGGGTAAAACTACGTGGCCGGGAGTCAGAGCCATTCCCTGTACACCTTGGGGTGCGACAGGGATGTCCTCTGGCTCCCACATTATTTAACATCTATTTTTACCACGTAGTTCGTGAAGCCTTCAATAGCTGTACCGGAGGAATCTCCATATGGTACAGATATAATGGGAGGCTAATCGATGCCCGGGTGCGGTCAAGGGATGGCTCCCTATTGCTCAACCACGTTATGTATGCTGATGATTTGGTAATAGCTGCTCAGTCAGAGGAGGAGTTGGAGACGCTGCTGCTGAGACTGGAGCGTGCCACTAAGAGGTGGGGCCTTACTATCAGCCCCACCAAAACTAAGCACCTGCCTGGGTATTTTGTACCATCGGACACTCCACCCCCACAACTCCCAATCGGTGATGGGGCAGTTGTGGAGAGAGTGGAGAGTTTCCCATACCTGGGCAGTGTGCTTATGACTGGCTCCAGTTTAACAGCAGAGGTCTCACTCCGAATCAGTCGAGCGGCAATATCTTTTCATCGGTTGCGTAACGCTGTGTGGAAGCTACCTGGTCTGTCGCTCCGCACTAAGCTTCAGGTCTTCTCGGCCACGGTCATTCCCTCCCTTCTCTACGCTTGCGAAACGTGGACCCCCCTAATGGAACATCTTCGCCGGTTAGAAACATTTAGGCTGGCCTGCCTACGATCCATCCTGGGTTTAACCAGACTGGATTGTGTGAGGAGCTCACAAATCCTTGAAAGATCTGGGCAGGGTCCCATCGGTGAGCTCCTCCGGCAGGCAAGGCTGCGACGGCTGGGTCATGTAGCCCGCATGCCCAGCCACCGCATGCCGAAACAGCTTTTGTTTGGCCGGATTGAGGGGGCTAAGCGGGCGCGGCACGGGCTAGAGAAGAGATGGAGTGATGTGGTACAGGAGGACGTGGAGCTGAGTGGACTTGCCGATGACCGGTACCAGCGGTGTCAAGATCGGCCTCTGTGGAGGAGGCTCGTGAAGGACGCTACTGGGCAGTTGGAGGCAGTCGCCCTCCAACAACAATGGAGGGCGGAGGAGCGACGCTCACAACAACGAGCGGAGCGCCGGGTGGCTAAAGCGCAGCAGGTTGGCGCAGTAGGGGGCACAGGTGGTGCATCAGCCAGTCATCTCAGTCAGTCGACCCGTGGCACCTGGGTCTGCCCCGTGACCTCCTGCCAGCGGGCGTTCGACACTTCACGTGGCCTCAAGGTGCACATGGCCTGGCACAAGCGTCGTGGTGACGTCATCGCCACTTAGTGGTGAATGGCGGTTGTTGCTGTACTTGTGTGTGTGTACATGTGTGTGTGTACGTGTGTACGTGTATGTGTGTGTGTACGTGTGTGTGTGGTGCTTGGGTATTAATTCTTCATCTTCTTTGCCACGTGCGTCGTCTCTGCTGCGTTCCTCTTGTTGCGGTGATGGGGAAACGTGGGCATCAGCTCAGGCTCACACGCTGGGCACCCCACACAGACAGAGACAAAGACACACACACACAGATACACTCAGATACACACAGAGATAAAGACACACACACAGATACACACAGATACACACAGAGACAAAGACACACACACTGATACATACAAAGACACACACAGATACACACGGAGATAAAGACACACACACACAGATAGACACAGAGACAAAGACACACACACACACAGATACACACAGACAAAGACACACACAGATGCACACGTAGATAAAGACACACACACAGATAGACACAGAGACAAAGACACACACACAGATACACACAGACAAAGACACACACAGATACACACGGAGATAAAGACACACACACAGAGATACACACAGAGATAAAGACACACACACAGATACACACAGAGATAAAGACACACACACAGATACACACAGAGACAAAGACACACACAGATACACACAAGAGACAAAGACACACACAGATACACACAGAGACAAAGACACACACACAGATACACACAGAGACAAAGACACACACAGATACACACAGAGACAAAGACACACACACAGATACACACAGAGACAAAGACACACACACAGATACACACAGAGACAAAGACACACACAGATACACACAGAGACAAAGACACACACAGATACACACAGAGACAAAGACACACACACACAGATACACACAGAGACAAAGACACACACAGATACACACAGAGACAAAGACACACACAGATACACACAGAGACAAAGACACACACAGATACACACAGAGACAAAGACACACAGATACACACAGAGACAAAGACACACACACAGATACACACAGAGATAAAGACACACACACACAGATACACACAGATACACTGACACACACAGATACACACAGAGACAAAGACACACACAGATACACACAGAGACAAAAACACACACAGATACACACAGAGACAAAGACACACACAGATACACACAGAGACAAAGACACACACACAGATACACACAGAGACAAAGACACACACACAGATACACACAGAGATAAAGACACACACAGATACACACAGAGATAAAGACACACACAGATACACACAGAGACAAAGACACACACACAGATACACACAGAGACAAAGACACACACACACAGATACACACAGACACAAAGACACACACACACAGATACACACAGAGACAAAGACACACACACAGATACACACAGAGACAAAGACACACACACAGATACACAGAGATAAAGACACACACACAGATACACACAGAGATAAAGACACACACACAGATACACACAGACACAAAGACACACACACAGATACACACAGACACAAAGACACACACACAGATACACACAGAGACAAAGACACACACAGATACACACAGACACAAAGACACACACACAGATACACACAGAGATAAAGATCCCCTGTATAGCCTTCGTAGACTGTAGGGGCAAGTGCTGTTAGCGAGCAGCACCTACGAAGGCCGGCACGGTGGCACACGAGGGGGGTGGGTGGCCAGCACCACGCCCGGCCGCCTTTGTCTCCCCCAGTGGCGATGTTTACTACAACGCACAGCACCAGGTTACTCACTTGAGGCCGAGTCGACCTCGGGCCAGGCCCAGGACCGGTGCCGCTCACGGCCACTGGCGTTGGCCACTGGCGTTGGCCACTGGCGTTGGCCACTCGCGTTGGCCACTGGCGTTGGCCACTGGCGTTGGCCGCTCACGGCCAAAGCGAGAGGACACGGGTTGGCAGGGGACACGGGTTGGCAGGGGACACGGGTTGGCAGAGGACAAGGGTTGGCAGCGTTCCGTGCGCAAGCCCTCGGCAGCGGCACTACCGCTTGGCCACAGACACGCGAAGACATCCCAACTCACGTAGGGGGTTCTCCTTGAAGTACGAATTGTCCAGGCAGTCGAGCGCGCTCACTCTGCACGAGGCAAAAGGCAAAGACAAAGACGTATGGGTGAGTGAGTGAGAGTATGGGCGAGAGAGTGAGTGTATGGGTGAGTGAGTGAGTGAGTGAATGGGCGAGTGAGTGAGTGTATGGGCGAGAGAGTGAGTGTATGGGCGAGTGAGTGAGTGTATGGGCGAGTGAGTGAGTGTATGGGCGAGTGAGTGTATGGGCGAGTGAGTGTATGGGTGAGTGAGTGAGTGAGTCTATGGGTGAGTGAGTGTATGGGCGAGTGAGTGTATGGGCGAGAGGGTGAGTGTATGGGTGGGTGAGTGAGTGAGTGAGTGTATGGGCGAGTGAGTGAGTGTATGGGCGAGTGAGTGAGTGTATGGGCGAGTGAGTGATTGTATGGGCGAGTGAGTGAGTGTATGGGTGAGTGAGTAAGTGTATGGGCGAGTGAGTGAGCGTATGGGTGAGTGAGTGTATGGGCGAGTGCGTGAGTGTATGGGTGAGTGAGTGAGTGAGTGTATGGGCGAGTGAGTGTATGGGTGAGTGAGTGAGTGTATGGGCGAGTGAGTGAGTGTATGGGCGAGTGAGTGTATGGGCGAGTAAGTGAGTGTATGGGCGAGTGCGTGAGTGGATGGGCGAGTGAGTGAGTGTATGGGCGAGTGAGTGTGTGGATGACCTCTTGGCTGGGTGGTACATGAACAGAGCGTTGAGCATGCGCAGCCCGGCATCCGACAGCCAGGGCAGGCGATGACGCAGGTGATTGTACGGTTGCCTCCGTAACACCACGCGGTCTGGGACACGCAGGCTCGAGAAACCCTGATACCATCACCATCATCATCAACATCGTCACCGTCATCATCATCATCATCAACATCATCATCATCAACATCGTCACCATGATCATCATCATCAACATCAACATCGTCACCAACATCACCATCATCACCAACATCGTCACCATGATCATCATCATCACCATCATCAACATCGTCACCATGATCAACATCATCATCAACATCAACATCATCACCAACATCGTCAACATCATCAACATCAACAACGTCAACATCATCAACATCAACAACGTCAACATCATCATCAACATCATCACCATCATCATCATGATCACCATGATCAACATAATCACCTTCATCAACATCACCATGATCAACAACATCATCATCATCAACATCATCAACAACATCAACAACATCAACATCATCAACATCATCACCATCATCAACATCACCATCACCATCATCATCAACATCAACATCATCACCATCATCAACATCATCATCATCATCAACATCTTCAACATCATCAACATCATCATCACCATCATCAGCATAAACATCATCATCACCATCATCAACATCAACATCGTCACCATGATCATCATCAACATCATCATCACCAACATCATCACCTTCACGAACACCATCAACACCACCATCAACATCATCATCACGAACACCATCACCACCATCATCATCATCATCATCACGAACACCATCACCACCATCATCATCACGAACACCATCACCACCATCATCATCACTAACACCATCATCACGAACACCATCAACACCACCATCAACATTATCATCATAACGAACATCATCACCACCATCACCACCATTATCATCACGAACACCATCAACACCATGGTGTTGAGTGGTGTTGAGTGAGTGTTGGTGAGTGAGTGGTGTTGAGTGGTGGTGTTGAGTGGTGGTGGTGAGTGGTGTTGAGTGGTGTTGAGTGAGTGATGGTGAGTGAGTGTTGGTGAGTGGTGTTGAGTGAGTGTTGGTGAGTGGTGTTGAGTGAGTGGTGGTGAGTGAGTGGTGGTGAGTGAGTGGTGTTGAGAGAGTGGTGGTGAGTGGTGGTGAGTGGTGGTGAGTGGTGTTGAGTGAGTGGTGGTGAGTGGTGTTGAGTGAGTGGTGGGTGGTGGTGAGTGAATAGTGAGTGTTGTGTGTGGTGAGTGTGTGGTGAGTGTGTGGTGAGTGAACGTGGTGGTGAGTGAACGTGGTGGGTGGTGAGTGAGTGGTGTTGAGTGAATGGTGGTGAGTGGTGGTGAGTGGTGGTGAGTGGTGCTGAGTGGTGGTGAGTGAGTGGCGGTGAGTGGTGCTGAGTGGTGGTGAGTGGTGTTGAGTGGTGGTGAGTGGTGCTGAGTGGTGGTGAGTGAGTGGTGGTGAGTGGCTGTGAGTGGTGGTGAGTGAGTGAGTGGTGGTGAGTGAGTGGTGGTGAGTGAGTGGTGGTGAGTGGTGGTGAGTGAGTGGTGGTGAGTGAGTGTGAGTGGTGGTGAGTGGTGGTGAGTGGTGGTGAGTGAGTGGTGGTGAGTGGTGGTGAGTGAGTGGTGTTGAGTGGTGGTGAGTGGTGGTGAGTGGTGTTGAGTGGTGGTGAGTGGTGCTGAGTGGTGGTGAGTGAGTGGTGGTGAGTGGCTGTGAGTGGTGGTGAGTGAGTGAGTGGTGGTGAGTGAGTGGTGGTGAGTGGTGGTGAGTGAGTGGTGGTGAGTGAGTGTGAGTGGTGGTGAGTGGTGGTGAGTGATGGTGAGTGAGTGGTGGTGAGTGGTGGTGAGTGAGTGGTGGTGAGTGGTGGTGAGTGAGTGGTGAGTGAGTGGTGAGTGAGTGAGTGGTGGCGAGTGGTGGTGAGTGAGTGGTGTTGAGTGGTGGTGAGTGAGTGTTGAGTGAGTGGTGGTGAGTGGTGTTGAGTGAGTGGTGGTGAGTGAGTGGTGGTTAGTGGTGGTGAGTGAGTGAGTGAGTGGTGGTGAGTGAGTGGTGAGTGAGTGGTGGTGAGTGAAGTTGAGTGTTTAGTGAGTGGTGGTGAGTGGTGGTGAGTGGTGGATGAGTGACTGGTGGTGAGTGGTGAGCGAGTGGTGGTGAGTGAGTGGTGGTGAGTGAGTGAGTGGTGGTGAGTGGTGTTGAGTGAGTGGTGGTGAGTAGTGGTGAGTGGTGTTGAGTGGTGGTGAGTGGTGGCGAGTGGTGGTGAGTGGTGGTGAGTGAGTGGTGGTGAGTGGTGAGTGAGTGGTGGTGAGTGGTGGTGAGTGAGTGGTGGTGAGTGGTGGTGTTGAGTGGTGGTGAGTGAGTGGTGGTGAGAGGTGGCGAGTGGTGGTGAGTGGTGGTGAGTGAGTGGTGCTGAGTGGTGGTGAGTGAGTGGTGAGTGAGTGGTGGTGAGTGAGTGGTGAGTGAGTGGTGTTGAGTGAGTGGTGGTGAGTGGTGGTGAGTGGTGGTGAGTGAGTGGTAGTGAGTGGTGGTGAGTGAGTGGTGAGTGAATGGTGGTGAGTGGTGAGTGAGTGGTGGTGAGTGGTGAGTGAATGGTGGTGAGTGAGTGGTGAGTGAGTGGTGAGTGAGTGGTGAGTGAGTGGTGGTGAGTGGTGGTGAGTGGTGAGTGAATGGTGGTGAGTGAGTGGTGGTGAGTGGTGGTGAGTGGTGTGAGTGAGTGGTGAGTGAGTGAGTGGTGAGTGAGTGGTGGTGAGTGGTGAGTGAGTGGTGTTGAGTGGTGGTGGTGAGTGGTGTTGAGTGGTGGTGAGTGGTGAGTGAGTGGCGGTGAGTGGTGAGTGAGTGGTGTTGAGTGAGTGGTGGTGAGTAAGTGGTGGCGAGTGGTGGTGAGTGAGTGGTGGTGAGTGGTGGTGGTGAGTGGTGGTGGTGAGTGGTGGTGTTGAGTGGTGTTGAGTGAGTGGTAGTGAGTGGTGGTGAGTGAGTGGTGAGTGAATGGTGGTGAGTGGTGAGTGAGTGGTGGTGAGTGAGTGGTGAGTGAGTGGTGAGTGAGTGGTGGTGAGTGAGTGGTGAGTAAATGGTGGTGAGTGGTGAGTGAGTGGTGGTGAGTAGTGAGTGAGTGGTGAGTGAGTGGTGTTGAGTGAGTGGCGGTGAGTGGTGAGTGAGTGGTGTTGAGTGAGTGGTGGTGAGTGAGTGGCGGTGAGTGGTGAGTGAGTGGTGTTGAGTGAGTGGTGGTGAGTGGTGAGTGAGTGGTGTTGAGTGGTGGTGAGTGAGTGGTGAGTGAGTGGTGAGTGAGTGGTGGTGAGTGGTGAGTGAGTGGTGGTGAGTGAGTGGTGGTGAGTGAGTGGTGGTGAGTGAGTGGCGGTGAGTGGTGAGTGAGTGGTGTTGAGTGAGTGGTGGTGAGTGAGTGGCGGTGAGTGGTGAGTGAGTGGTGTTGAGTGAGTGGTGGTGAGTGGTGAGTGAGTGGTGTTGAGTGGTGGTGAGTGAGTGGTGAGTGAGTGGTGAGTGAGTGGTGGTGAGTGGTGAGTGAGTGGTGGTGAGTGAGTGGTGGTGAGTGAGTGGCGGTGAGTGGTGAGTGAGTGGTGTTGAGTGAGTGGTGGTGAGTGAGTGGCGGTGAGTGGTGAGTGAGTGGTGTTGAGTGAGTGGTGGTTGAGTGGTGAGTGAGTGGTGTTGAGTGGTGGTGAGTGAGTGGTGAGTGGTGAGTGAGTGGTGGTGAGTGGTGAGTGAGTGGTGGTGAGTGGTGTTGAGTGTTGAGTGAGTAGTTGTGAGTGGTGTTGAGTGAGTGGTGGTGAGTGGTGTTGAGTGTTGAGTGAGTAGTTGTGAGTGGTATTGAGTGAGTGGTGGTGAGTGGTGTTGAGTGTTGTGTGAGTGGTGGTGAGTGGTGTTGAGTGAGTGGTGGTGAGTGGTGGTGAGTGAGTGGTGGTGAGTGGTGGTGTTGAGTGGTGGTGAGTGAGTGGTGGTGAGAGGTGGCGAGTGGTGGTGAGTGGTGGTGAGTGAGTGGTGCTGAGTGGTGGTGAGTGAGTGGTGAGTGAGTGGTGGTGAGTGAGTGGTGAGTGAGTGGTGTTGAGTGAGTGGTGGTGAGTGGTGGTGAGTGGTGGTGAGTGAGTGGTAGTGAGTGGTGGTGAGTGAGTGGTGAGTGAATGGTGGTGAGTGGTGAGTGAGTGGTGGTGAGTGGTGAGTGAATGGTGGTGAGTGAGTGGTGAGTGAGTGGTGAGTGAGTGGTGAGTGAGTGGTGGTGAGTGGTGGTGAGTGGTGAGTGAATGGTGGTGAGTGAGTGGTGGTGAGTGGTGGTGAGTGGTGTGAGTGAGTGGTGAGTGAGTGAGTGGTGAGTGAGTGGTGGTGAGTGGTGAGTGAGTGGTGTTGAGTGGTGGTGGTGAGTGGTGTTGAGTGGTGGTGAGTGGTGAGTGAGTGGCGGTGAGTGGTGAGTGAGTGGTGTTGAGTGAGTGGTGGTGAGTAAGTGGTGGCGAGTGGTGGTGAGTGAGTGGTGGTGAGTGGTGGTGGTGAGTGGTGGTGTTGAGTGGTGTTGAGTGAGTGGTAGTGAGTGGTGGTGAGTGAGTGGTGAGTGAATGGTGGTGAGTGGTGAGTGAGTGGTGGTGAGTGAGTGGTGAGTGAGTGGTGAGTGAGTGGTGGTGAGTGAGTGGTGAGTAAATGGTGGTGAGTGGTGAGTGAGTGGTGGTGAGTAGTGAGTGAGTGGTGAGTGAGTGGTGTTGAGTGAGTGGCGGTGAGTGGTGAGTGAGTGGTGTTGAGTGAGTGGTGGTGAGTGAGTGGCGGTGAGTGGTGAGTGAGTGGTGTTGAGTGAGTGGTGGTGAGTGGTGAGTGAGTGGTGTTGAGTGGTGGTGAGTGAGTGGTGAGTGAGTGGTGAGTGAGTGGTGGTGAGTGGTGAGTGAGTGGTGGTGAGTGAGTGGTGGTGAGTGAGTGGTGGTGAGTGAGTGGCGGTGAGTGGTGAGTGAGTGGTGTTGAGTGAGTGGTGGTGAGTGAGTGGCGGTGAGTGGTGAGTGAGTGGTGTTGAGTGAGTGGTGGTGAGTGGTGAGTGAGTGGTGTTGAGTGGTGGTGAGTGAGTGGTGAGTGAGTGGTGAGTGAGTGGTGGTGAGTGGTGAGTGAGTGGTGGTGAGTGAGTGGTGGTGAGTGAGTGGCGGTGAGTGGTGAGTGAGTGGTGTTGAGTGAGTGGTGGTGAGTGAGTGGCGGTGAGTGGTGAGTGAGTGGTGTTGAGTGAGTGGTGGTTGAGTGGTGAGTGAGTGGTGTTGAGTGGTGGTGAGTGAGTGGTGAGTGGTGAGTGAGTGGTGGTGAGTGGTGAGTGAGTGGTGGTGAGTGGTGTTGAGTGTTGAGTGAGTAGTTGTGAGTGGTGTTGAGTGAGTGGTGGTGAGTGGTGTTGAGTGTTGAGTGAGTAGTTGTGAGTGGTATTGAGTGAGTGGTGGTGAGTGGTGTTGAGTGTTGTGTGAGTGGTGGTGAGTGGTGTTGAGTGAGTGGTGGTGAATGGTGTTGAGTGGTGGTGAGTAGTTGTGAGTGGTGGTGAGTGGTGTTGAGTGGTGTTGAGTGAGTGGTGGTGAGTGGTGTTGAGTGGTGTTGAGTGAGTGGTGGTGAGTGAGTGGCGGTGAGTGGTGAGGATTGGCGAGTGTCTCACAGGCCAGATGGCGTTGGTGGGTGTGCCCAGAAGCTGGACGATCAGGTGAATCTGCTGGATCTCCGACGAGCCAGGCAGTAGGGGTTTGTGAGCCAGTAGCTCGGCTATGATGCAGCCCACCGACCTGCCAACACCACAGACAAATATCCCCCGTGTAGCCTTAACATGTTGACCACCTCGCCTGGTACACAGGAGGTCTTGGGTTCGATCCCTACCCTAACGATGCCTGCTGTACATGTGATGAGATGTTGACTACCTCGCTTGGTAGACAGGAGGTCGTGGGTTCGATCCCTACCCTGACGACTGCTGTACACACAGAGATAAAGATCCCCTACAGATACACACAGAGACAAAGACACACACACAGATACACACAGAGACAAAGACACACACACAGATACACACAGAGACAAAGACACACACACGCAGATACACACAGAGACAAAGACACACACAGATACACACAGAGACAAAGACACACACACAGATACATACAGAGACAAAGACACACACACACAGATACACGCAGAGACAAAGACACACACAGATACACACAGAGACAAAGACACACACACAGATACACACAGAGACAAAGACACACAAACACACACACAGATACACACAGAGACAAAGACACACAGATACACACAGAGACAAAGACATACACACAGATACACACAGAGACAAAGACATACACACAGATACACACAGAGACAAAGACACACACAGATACACACAAAGACAAAGGCACACACACAGATACACACAGAGACAAAGACACACACACAGATACACACAGAGACAAAGACACACACACAGATACACACAGAGACAAAGATCCCCTGTATAGCCTTAACAGACTGTAGGGGCAAATGCTGTTAGCGACCAGCACCTACGAAGGCTGGAACGGCACACGAGGGGGTGGGTGGCCAGCACCACGCCCGGCCGCCTTTGTCTCCCCAGTGGCGATGTTTACACACCGCACCAGGTACTCGTTTGAGGCTGAGTCGACCTAGGTGAGGCCCAGTAGAGGTTTAGATAGTCGTCACTGACGGTGGTGGCCATGAGCGGGAATCAAACTCGGGGTGCCGGGTACAAAACACAGCGTGCTAACCGCTACACAGCCGTGCCCGAAACCACTACCAACATCACCAACATCAATATCATCATCAGCACCAATACCAACATCAGCAGCAGCAGCAACCACAATATTACTATCGGTATCATCATCAGCAGCAACAATATCATCATCAGCAACAATATCACTATCAGCACCAGGAGCACCACCAACATCAATATCATGATCAGCGGAAGCAGCAGCAACAACATGGACATCATTAGCATAAGTGTAACAATAAATCTCATCCTATATAACCCATCACCTCCAACCATCACCAAATAAAAAAGCAGATGTAATCATCGTCATCATGAATGTCATTACCACCATACCACCATCATAATCATCACCACCATCATCATCACCATCATCATGATCATCACCACCACCACCATCATCATCACCACCATCATCATCATCATCACCATCATCATCATCACCACCATCATCATCACCACCATCATCATCATCATCGCCACCATCACCACCACCATCATCATCATCATCACCATCATCATCACCACCATCATAATCATCACCACCACCACCACCATCATCATCACCACCACCACGTGACCCCACCACCCCTGCTCTCACCACATGTCAATGGCTGTGGTCTGTGTCTCAGAGCCGAAGAGCAGTTCAGGGGCTCGGTACCTACTCACACACACACGTACACATACACACACGTACACATGTACACACAACAACAACAACCGCCATTCGCCACTAAGTGGCGGTGACGTCACCACGACGCTTGTGCCAGGCTATGTGCACCCTGAGGCCACGTGAAGTGTCGAACGCCCGCTGACAGGAGGTCACGGGGCAGACCCAGGTGCCACGGGTCGACTGACTGAGATGACTGGCTGATGCACCACCTGTGCCCCCTACTGTGCCAACCTGCTGTGCTTTAGCCACCCGGCGCTCCGCTCGCTGTTGTGAGCGTCGCTCCTCCGCCCTCCGTTGTTGTTGGAGGGCGACTGCCTCCAACTGCCCAGTAGCATCCTTCACGAGCCTCCTCCACAGAGGCCGATCTTGACACCGCTGGTACCAGTCATCGGCAAGTCCACTCAGCTCCACGTCCTCCTGTACCACATCACTCCATCTCTTCTCTAGCCCGTGCCGCGCCCGCTTAGCCCCCTCAATCCGGCCAAACAAAAGCTGTTTCGGCATGCGGTGGCTGGGCATGCGGGCTACATGACCCAGCCATCGCAGCCTTGCCTGCCGGAGGAGCTCACCGATGGGACCCTGCCCAGATCTTTCAAGGATTTGTGAGCTCCTCACACAATCCAGTCTGGTTAAACCCAGGATGGATCATAGGCAGGCCAGCCTAAATGTTTCTAACCGGCGAAGATGTTCCATTAGGGGGGTCCACGTTTCGCAAGCGTAGAGAAGGGAGGAAATGACCATGGCCGAGAAGACCTGAAGCTTAGTGCGGAGCGACAGACCAGGTAGCTTCCACACAGCGTTACGCAACCGATGAAAAGATATTGCCGCTCGACTGATTCGGAGTGAGACCTCTGCTGTTAAACTGGAGCCAGTCATAAGCACACTGCCCAGGTATGGGAAACTCTCCACTCTCTCCACAACTGCCCCATCACCGATTGGGAGTTGTGGGGGTGGAGTCTCCGATGGTACAAAATACCCAGGCAGGTGCTTAGTTTTGGTGGGGCTGATTGGTAAGGCCCCACCTCTTAGTGGCACGCTCCAGTCTCAGCAGCAGCGTCTCCAACTCCTCCTCTGACTGAGCAGCTATTACCAAATCATCAGCATACATAACGTGGTTGAGCAATAGGGAGCCATCCCTTGACCGCACCCGGGCATCGATTAGCCTCCCATTATATCTGTACCATATGGAGATTCCCCCGGTACAGCTATTGAAGGCTTCACGAACTACGTGGTCAAAATAGATGTTAAATAATGTGGGAGCCAGAGGACATCCCTGTCGCACCCCAAGGTGTACAGGGAATGGCTCTGACTCCCGGCCACGTAGTTTTACCCGGGCCCGCTCACCATCATGAAGGTCCTTAATGATCGTGAGCAGAGGGTCAGGTACTCCAAAAGCACGAAGAACGACCCAGAGCCCAGGCCTACTGATGGTATCATAGGCCTTGACCAGGTCAATAAAGCAGAGATGTAGGTCTTGTTGGAATTCCCTACACCTCTGCTGTAGCAGACGGACAGAAAATATGGCATCTGTGCAGGATCACCCTTTCCTGAAACCGCATTGGGGCTCCGCAAGCCTCTCCTCAGCGTGCCTGGCAAGGCGATGCTGAATAATCCTTGCCAGGACCTTTCCTGGCACACTGAGGAGTGAGATGCCCCTGTAGTTGTTACAGTCTGTGCGGTCCCCCTTCTTAAAAAGGGGGACCACCAGGGCATCCTTCCAATCCTGCGGAACCCGTCCAGTGGTCCAGACTGTTGTTATGATGTCATATAGGGCAGTCTGTGCACAAACGCCACCCTCCCTCAGCATTTCGCTTGGGAGATCATCTCTGCCCGCTGCCTTTCCTGGTCTCAGACTCCGGATCGCCTTCAATACTTCCTCAGCAGATGGCACCTCAGCCAGCCACTCACCGGGGGTGACTTCATCCAATATTTGAGGCACCACAGCCTCAGCAGGGTCATCCTCACTTTGTGCCACGATGTTTTCCTGGCTGAGGGATTTTCCCTCCCCCAGGACCTCACAGAAATGCTCAGCAAATCTGCGAACCTGTTCCTGGGGGTCGGAAATTGGATCACCGTTTTTTCCCCTAATTATGGTAATAGGTGTGGCGCTGCAGGTTACTTTTTTGATGGAGTTAAATAGAGATTTGTGATCACGGGCCACTGAGGAAGACTCCATCTCCTCAGCAACCCGCGACCACCACCCATCCTTGCAGCGCCTCACGGCTCTCCGAACCTCCGAGCGAAGACTGCGGTAAGCCTCCTCATTCTCTGACGTGGGATTCTGTAGCCGATGACAGTGGGCCTGTCGCCTTTTCTCAACCATCCTGAACACCTCCTTTGTCAGCCAGGGTGTCTGGGGAGGTCTGGACCGCGTACCCAAAGCAGCCATTGCAGCTGCATGAGTCACAGTCCTAAACCTCGCCCATTTACCCTCGACATCAGGAGGAGTCGGGGACGATGCCAATCCCAGCCGCAAGCGATGATGAAATTCTCGCTTGCAACTTTCATGAGATAACTGAGACCAGGCCACTTTAGGTTGGAATGGGGTCCTGGGTGTACACCCACCACCGGAGTGGAAGAATGGCAGGCGCATCTTACAGATGACTAGTCGATGGTCAGAGGGCAGATCAGCTCCACGGTAGGTCCTGGTGTCAAGGACATGGGCTCGCATCCGCTGGTCCGTCACTATGTAGTCCAGCAGATGTTCTTGCTTGGACCCGGCATGCATCCATGATGTTGTGTGGATGCGCCGATGCCGGAACAGCGTGTTGGTAATTACAAGCCCATGGGCTGCACAAAAATCTAGCAGCCTCCTACCGTTGTTATTGAGCTGATCTGGCCCATGCCCTCCAATCACTCCAGACCAGGTGCCAGTATCATGACCAACTCGGGCATTGAAGTCACCCAACATGATGACTCTATCCCGAGGGGCCACTTTAGCCAGCACCTGTGACAGGTCATGGAAGGCATCTGACTCATCGGCTTTGCCTGCATCCCTCCACGGATGTTCATCTTCGGTGGGGGCATAAGTAACCACGAGCACCATTCCTCGCCTCCGGTTGATGGGAAGGCGAGCCCAAAGTAGCCTGGGGCTTACAGCTTCCCACACCTCACCGCCACGCTCCCACGCCCCCTTCATTCTTTTGTTCAAAAGAAGAGCCACACCCTGTTGTTTGGCAGTCTGCTGCCCCGAGTAGAGGACTGTCCACCCCTCATGGTGGCAGGAGCCAGAGCCGGTCCACCGGACCTCCTGAATGCCGCATAAATCCAGGCGGTACCGGTCCAGCTCCCGACAGAGGAGTGGCAGCCTCTCCTCCGCAGCGAGCGTTCGAACATTCCACGTGGCCACCCGTAGTGGCTTTTCGTTGTTTCTGGAGTAGCCCCGAGGGTAGGTATTCAATCTCCTGGCTCCGCCAATTGGGGTTTGGCCAGGAGACGTCATAGACGCCTGGCCCCCCCGGGGCCTCCGGCACAAGCTTATTAGTTACATATTTCAGTTTAACTCGTGGTTTCGTGGTAATTAATTGAAGGTGGAGGGGTTACCAGCCCCTCGCACCCGTCCAGAGCCCCCGTTTAGCCCCTGTGGTGGACACATATGCCATGAGGGGAGGAGCCAATCAAAATTGGATCTCCCCCCAGAGCACTGTCCACGACAGAGTTGCCCGTCCGGCAACGCGAGGAGGTAGGGGGTTGTTTTGCCAGACATACACAAAGATAAACAAAGATCCCCCATATAGCCTGTAACAGACTGTAGGGGCAAGTGCTGTTAGCGAGCACCTATGAAGGCCGGAACGGTACACGAGGGGGTGGGTGGCCAGCACCACGCCCGACCGCCTTTGTCTCCCTAGTGGCGATGTTTACACACCGCACCAGGTACTCATTTGAGGCTGAGTCGACCTAGGGGAGGCCCGGGACCGGTTCAGATAATCGTCACTGGTGTTGGCCGTGAGCGGGAATCGAACCCGGGTCGCCAGGTTCATAGCGCAGCGCGCTAACCGCTACACTACCGCTCCCCACACATACACACACACACGTACACACACACACACGTGTACACACACACACACGTGTACACACATACACACACACATACACACACGTACACACACACATACATACACACACACACGTACACACACACGTACACACACACACGTACACACACACACACGTACACACACACGTACACACACACACGTGTACACACACACGTACACGTACACACACACACACGTACACACACATACACGTACATACACACACACACGTACACATGTACATACACACACACACGTACTCACACACACGTACACATGTACACACGTACACACACGTACACACATGTACACACGTACACACACACACGTACACACACACACGTACACACACACACACGTACACACGTACACACATACACACACGTACACACGTACACACACACACATACACACGTACACACATGTACACACACACACATACACACGTACACACATGTACACACACACACACACACGTACACACGTACACACACACACATACACACGTACACACACATACACACGTGCACACACACACGTACACACATACATACACACACGTAGCACACACACGTACACACACACACGTACACACACACACGTACACATGAACACACATACACACACACGTACACACATACACACATACACACGTACACACACACACATACTCACACACACATACGTACACACATACATACACACACGTACCACACACACACACGTAGACACACACGTACACACACGTACACACACACACACACGTACACACACGTACACACATGTACACGTGTGTACATGTACCATTCGCCACTAAGTGACGGCGACGTCACCACGACGCTTGTGCCAGGCCATGTGCACTTTGAGGCCACGTGAAGTGTTGAAGGCTCCCTGCTGGCAGGAGGTCACGGGGCAGACCCAGCAGGTGCCACGGGTCGACTGACTGAGATGACTGAGATGACTGGCTGATGCACCACCTGTGCCCCCTACTGTGCCAACCTGCTGTGCTTTAGCCACCCGGCGCTCCGCTCGTTGTTGTGAGCGTCGCTCCTCCGCCCTCCGTTGTTGTTGGAGGGCGATGCCTCCAACTGCCCAGTAGCGTCCTTCACGAGCCTCCTCCACAGAGGCCAATCTTGACACCGCTGGTACCAGTCATCGGCAAGTCCACTCAGCTCCACGTCCTCCTGTACCACATCACTCCATCTCTTCTCTAGCCCGCTTAGCCCCCTCGATCCGGCCGAACAAAAGCCGTTTCGGCATGCGGTGGGGCTGGGCATGCGGGCTACATGACCCAGCCATCGCAGCCTTCCCCGCCCGGGGGAGCTCACCGATGACGGGACTGTGCCCAGATCCTTCGAGGATTTGCGATGCTCCTCACGCCAATCCAGCCTGTAGGTTAAACCCAGGACGTGCTGTGGAGGGGCGGCCGGCGGCTGTGCCGAGCACGGCTCTCCGCTCCGCCGAGCACGGCGCACGGCACAACGTCCTTGGAGGAACAGCGGCGCTGCGAGGAAGCCCCTCCGAATATAAATCGGCGAGCGGGAGACACCGACCCGACCGCTCGCAGGCGTCTTAACAGGGTAGTCGAAGGCGCCGTTCGCGAAATGGCATTCGCGAACGGCGCCTGCGCCAACGGTCTGCTCGAGGCAGTGACGGGTGGATCTTCTTGAGTGCGAGTGCACAACTGATTGCGTGAGTGAGCGTGAGTGAGCGCGAGCGAGTTTGGATTGACTCACTATCTCCCTCCCTCCCTCCCTGCCTCCGGAGGACGGGGTCCATAAAATGAGCACCGCTTTGTGGGGTAGTCAACAGCGGTTGTCGGATAAGATGGACTCGCTCGCTCGCTCGCCCTCCTCCCGCTCTCTCTCCTGTCATAGGAACGTGGAAATCCACCGCCACATCTGAGATCTCACCACAGGGTCACGACCTTAGGAGTCATCGGTCGCAGAGGTACGCCAAATGCACGGGCCAGCCCAAAGTCAGCTGAGAAACACAAACACACACACACACACCGTAATCGTCAACAACAACACCATCATCAACAACATCATCTAAATCATCCTGACTACACCAACACCATCATCAACACCATCATCATCAACAACACCATCATCAACAACATTACCATCATCTAAATCATCCTGACCACACCAACACCATCATCAACACCACCATCATCATCAACAACATTACCATCATCAACAACATTACCATCATCAACAACATTACCATCATCATCTAAATCATCCTGACCACACCAACAACATTGTCATCATCTAAATCATCCTGACCACACCAACACCATCATCAACAACACCATCATCAACAACATCATCATCAAAATCATCCTGACCACACCAACACCATCATCATCACCATCACCACCACCATCGTGAACAGCACGACCAACACCATCACCATCGTCACTACTACGATCAACAACACCATCACCATCGTCACCATCGTCACGACCGTCACCATCGTCACCACCGTCACCATCGTCACCATCGTCACCATCGTCACCATCGTCACCATCGTCACCACCGTCACCACCGTCACCATAGTCACCATCGTCACCATCGTCACCACCGTCACCGTAGTCACCGTAGTCACCATTGTCACCATAGTCACCACCGTCACCATCGTCACCGTAGTCACCGTAGTCACCGTAGTCACCGTAGTCACCATCGTCACCATAGTCACCATCGTCACCATAGTCACCATCGTCACCACCGTCACCGTAGTCACCGTAGTCACCATTGTCACCATAGTCACCACCGTCACCATCGTCGTCACCATCGTCGTCACCGTCACCATCGTCACCACCGTCACCACCGTCACCATCGTCACCATCGTCGTCACCGTCACCATCGTCACCATCGTCACCATCGTCACCACCGTCACCACCGTCACCATCGTCACCATCGTCGTCACCGTCACCATCGTCACCATCGTCACCACCGTCACCACCGCCACCATCATCACCACCGTCACCACCGTCACCACCGTCACCACCATGATCAACAACACCGTCACCATCGTCACCATCGTCACCACCGTCACCACCGTCACCATCGTCACCACCTTCACCATCGTCACCACCGTCACCACAGTCACCACCGTCACCATCGTCACCACCGTCACCACCGTCACCATAGTCACCACCGTCATCACCAACACCATCGTCACCACCGTCACCATCATCACTACCATGATCAACAACACCGTCACCATCGTCGTCACCGTCACCATCGTCACCACCGTCACCACCGTCACCATCGTCACCATCGTCGTCACCGTCACCATCGTCACCATCGTCACCATCGTCACCACCGTCACCACCGTCACCATCGTCACCATCGTCGTCACCGTCACCATCGTCACCATCGTCACCACCGTCACCACCGTCACCATCATCACCACCGTCACCACCGTCACCACCGTCACCACCATGATCAACAACACCGTCACCATCGTCACCATCGTCACCACCGTCACCACCGTCACCACCGTCACCATCGTCACCACCTTCACCATCGTCACCACCGTCACCACAGTCACCACCGTCACCATCGTCACCACCGTCACCACCGTCACCATAGTCACCACCGTCATCACCAACACCATCGTCACCACCGTCACCATCATCACTACCATGATCAACAACACCGTCACCATCGTCACCACCGTCACCATAGTCACAATCGTCACCACCGTCACCACCTTCACCACCTTCACCATAATCACCATAGTCACCACCGTCACCACAGTCACCATTGTCACCACCTTCACCACCGTCACCACCGTCACCACCGTCACCACCTTCACCACCGTCACCACCGTCACCACCGTCACCATAGTCACCACCGTCACCATCGTCACCACAGTCACCACCGTCACCACAGTCACCATCGTCACCACAGTCACCATCGTCACCATAGTCACCACCGTCACCATCGTCACCACAGTCACCACCGTCACCACAGTCACCATCGTCACCACAGTCACCATCGTCACCATAGTCACCATCGTCACCACCGTCACCATTGTCACCACCGTCACCACCGTCACCATCGTCACTATCGTCACCATCGTCACCACCGTCACCATCGTCACCATAGTCACCACCGTCACCATCGTCACCACCTTCACCATTGTCACCACCGTCACCACCGTCACCATTGTCACTATCGTCACCATCGTCACCACCGTCACCATAGTCACCATAGTCACCACCGTCACCATAGTCACCACCGTCACCATAGTCACCACCGTCACCATAGTCACCACCGTCACTACCGTCACCATCGTCACCATCGTCACCACCGTCACCACCGTCACCACCGTCACCACCTTCACCACAGTCACCACCGTCACCATAGTCACCACCTTCACCACAGTCACCACCGTCACCACCGTCACCACCGTCACCACCGTCACCACCGTCACCACCTTCACCACAGTCACCACAGTCACCACCGTCACCATAGTCACCACCTTCACCACAGTCACCATAGTCACCACCGTCACCACCGTCACCATCGTCACCACCGTCACCACCGTCACCACCGTCACCACCTTCACCACAGTCACCACCTTCACCATAGTCACCACCTTCATCATAGTCACCACCTTAATCATCGTCACCACCGTCACCATCAACAAGGTGGAGGCATCCACACTTTATCCCACCATATGTGACCTGCACGTGATTGGTGGAGAGAGAGGGGGGGAGCTGATTTGTGGAGAGAGAGGGGGGAGCTGATTGGTGGAGAGAGGGGGGGGAGCTGATTGGTGGAGAGAGAGGGGGGGAGCTGATTGGTGGAGAGAGAGGGGGGGAGCTGATTGGTGGAGAGAGAGGGGGAGCTGATTGGTGGAGAGAGGGGGGGAGAGCTGATTGGTGGAGAGAGGGGGGGGAGCTGATTGGTGGAGAGAGGGGGGGAGCTGATTGGTGGATAGAGGGGGGGGAGCTGATTGGTGGAGAGAGGGGGGGAGCTGAGTGGTGGAGAGAGGGGGGGGAGCTGATTGGTGGAGAGAGGGGGGGGAGCTGATTGGTGGAGAGAGGGGGGGAGCTGATTGGTGGAGAGAGGGGGAGAGCTGATTGGTGGAGGGGGGGGAGCTGATTGGTTGAGAGAGGGGGGGGAGCTTATTGGTGGAGAGAGGGGGGGGAGCTTATTGGTGGAGAGAGGGGGGGGAGCTGTATGGTGGAAAGAGAGGGAAGGAGCTGATTGGTGGAGAGAGGGGTGGGGAGTTAATTAGTTGAGAGGGGGGGGAGCTGATTGGTGGAGAGAAGGGGGGGAGCTGATAGGTGGAGAGAGAAGGTGGAGCTGATTGGTGAAGAGAGAGAAGGTGAGCTCATAGGTGGAAAGAGGGAGCGATCCGATTGGTGGAGACAGAGGGGACACGTTGCAAGTGTAGTCACCTATCTTGACGCAGCCTTTGTCAGTCATGAGGAGGTTGGACACCTTCAGATCTCTAGACGAGAGAGAGAGGCAGCAGAGCACAAGAGACAAAGATCCCCCATATAGCTTTAACGGACTGTTGGGGCAAGCGCTGTCAGTAAGGTAGCACCGACCAATCAAATCACGGTGGGCAGCCAGCCCCAATCCCCGGCCTGCTTGGCCTCCCGAGTGGTGATGTTTACACAACACACCAAGTGCTCATTTGAGGCTGAATTGACCTAAGGGGGCCGGCCATAAATGACGTCACGCACCTGGGGTGGGTGGTGGTGGGTGGGGGTGAGGGGTGGGGTCAGACATTCGTGACGATGTGTGACGAGGGGAGGGGAGGGGCGGGGTTTGAGAAATGTGACGTCACGTCAAAATTACACGCAAACTTTAAATATACATATACAGACACAACACGTTCCACTTAATTAAATAGACTTTGTAACAAACGTGTTCTTCCTACAACATCAGAGTGCAGCGCCACGTTAAATACGCAATTGCAGTGACGATAGTTTAAAGCGATTTGAAGCGTGTTTTATTTTATTTTTTTTGGGGGGGGGGGGGGGCAGAGCTGAGTGACGTCATATTTGAAGGGGGAGGGGTCTGACTCTTTGTGACGTCCAAAATCGCGTGACGTCATTTATGGACGGCCCCCCTAAGATGAGGCCCAGCCCAGGACCGGTGCAGATCATCACCATCCGAGTTGTTGGCCGTGACCCGGGAATCAAACTCGGGTCGCCGGGTTCGTAGCGGCTGCTACCGCTCACCCTACCCCCCCCCGTACAGCCTCAACAAACTGTTTGGGGGGGGGGGCAAGCGCTGATAGTGAGCGGCCGTGCAAATAAACAACTAGCTCGGCTTCACGCTCTCTTCCCCGGATGGTCCATCTCCCCTCTCCCTCTCTCTCTCTCCCTCTCTCTCTCTCCCTCTCTCTCTCCCTCTCTCTCTCTCTCGCGTTCCCCGCACCCCGCGCCGGTTTGACGGCGTCGGAGATCGCTGCCACCCGAGGCTGCCACGTGGTCGATGGCCGACGAGGTGGAGGAAACGCGGTCCAGGCCCTCGCCTCTAACCACGCCCCCGCCTCTAACCACGCCCCCGCCTCCAACCACGCCCCCGCCTCCAACCACGCCCCCGCCTCCAACCACGCCCCCGCCTCCAAACACGCCCCCGCCTCCAAACACGCCCCCGCCTCCAACCACGCCCCCGCCTCCAACCACGCCCCCGCCTCTAACCACGCCCCCTCCTCTAACCACGCCCCCGCCTCTAACCACGCCCCCGCCTCTAACCACGCCCCCGCCCCTAACCACGCCCCCGCCTCTAACCACGCCCCCGCCTCTAGCCACGCCCCCGCCTCTAACCACGCCCCCGCCTCTAACCACGCCCCCGCCTCTAACCACGCCCCCGCCTCTAACCACGCCCCCGCCTCTAACCACGCCCCCGCCTCTAACCACGCCCCCGCCTCTAACCACGCCCCCGCCTCTAACCACGCCCCCGCCTCCAACCACGCCCCCGCCTCCAACCACGCCCCCGCCTCCAACCACGCCCCCGCCTCCAACCACGCCCCCGCCTCCAACCACGCCCCCGCCTCCAACCACGCCCCCGCCTCTAACCACGCCCCCGCCTCTAACCACGCCCCCGCCTCTAACCACGCCCCCGCCTCTAACCACGCCCCCGCCTCCAACCACGCCCCCGCCTCCAACCACGCCCCCGCCTCCAACCACGCCCCCGCCTCTAACCACGCCCCCGCCTCTAACCACGCCCCCGCCTCTAACCACGCCCCCGCCTCTAACCACGCCCCCGCCTCTAACCACGCCCCCCCCCCCTCAGAACCTTCCCGATGGTTCCCGCGTACCCCCCCACCCCCCCGTGAGCTCCGCCCATGAACTTCGGCCCAGGTGGTAACCCACAGCCCTGATTGGCTATCGACCGATGAGGCAATGGCTACGCAGCCCTCCGTCAGCCGTGGCTCTCCTCTCTGTTTCAAAGAAGAAATTTGACCTCAGGCCTTCGCTCATTTACCAGCTTCACGTTCCCCGTTGGCGTAAAGAACCGGAGGAAAGGGGCCTTGCTATTGATGCCCCCCCAGGGTCTGGAATGCTATCGCCAATGAACTGCAACTTGAATCGCTACCAATGAGATCTTCTCTCAAAACTCCTCTCGAGGATATTCTTAGCTCTTTCGGTAAAGTCACGTTGAAGGGAAACAATAAAATAATAAAATATATTATATATCTTTTAAAATATATTATGTATCTTTTATTATTTTATTGTTTCCCTTCAACGTGACTTTACCGAAAGAGCTAAGAATATGAATTACTGCAGTCACGAAAGCTTTAAATGCTCTAGAGGAGTTGTACACCCCCTAGCTGACACCGCTATTCATTGGCGTAAAATAAAATAAAATGTTTCGCTCCGGATGACGCCACAAAGTATGATCTGTATTTTGATTTGGCGTACCGATCTTAAAGGTGCATTGAAAAATGTGACACTCGGATCGATGCTTCTGTTGTTTGTGGAGTAACTCACGCAGCCAGCTGTGGCTCTAGGATTTGGTGTCACGTGTTATTTATGTAGTTTATTGTTAAAAATTCGGTCACGGTCCCTGTGATCACTGTTACGTTGCAATTATGGCTTTATTTTTTAGTGATTTGTAAAACGTTTTTTTGTTTTGGACGTGTTTGTTTTGTTGTAGTACGGAGTTAGACTGATGGCCTTAATCTTAGTTGTCTTGTGGTTGTTGTTGTTGTTGTTTGATTTGCATCCCACTGGGATTTTTTGCACAAAGCGTTGGTGGTACACGGTGTGGCTTTTTTCAGGAATATTATTGCTGGTTTTTTTTTCCTCCATGGATTTTCTGTTTTGCACAGAGTCACACACACGTAGTCACTTTTAAGATGTTTTTCTTGCACCCGATTCAAGAGCCGGATTGCTCACAGGGCTACACCAAAATAAACTGAAACTGAACTCATAACACCTGCGAGTTGCGCCACGTCACAGGCTAACTAGGCGGCGGGTGGCCAGCGACACGCCCAGCTGGGCCTGCCGTGCGCCGGTGGCCGGCTCAACGGGCGCTTGCTGACAGCGCGCGACCCCAGGGGTCACCAATGTGGGCGACCGAGACTCGCCCCGGTCGCTGCAATTCTCACGCACGTGGACAAACGAAATGCGCGTGGCAAACCTGCGAAGCCCACCTGTGGATGATGTAGTTGTTGTGCAGGTACAGCAGCCCCTTGAGCAGCTGCAGCGAGATGCATTTCACCTGGAACGGCATCGAACGGCGTGCGCTCGCTCACAACAACGAGCGGAGCGCCGGGTGGCTAAAGCACAGCGGGTCGGCACAGTAGGGGGGGCACAGGTGGTGCATCAGCCAGTCATCTCAGTCAGTCGACCCGTGGCACCTGGGTCTGCCCCGTGACCTCCTCCTGCTGGCGGGCGTTCGACACTCCACGTGGCAGCGTCAAGGTGCACATAGCCTGGTGCAAGCGTCGTGGTGACGTCACCCTGCCACTTAGTGGCGAATGGCGGTTGATGTTGTTGTTCTCGCTCAAAAGCACTTGCCCCAACAGCATGTTAAGGCTGCACGGGGGACCTTTGTATTTGTGAGGGAGGCGGGGTGCACGGGTTAGCGCTACGCTGCGCTACGAACCCGGCGACCCGAGTTCGATTCCCACTCATGCCCCAATAACAGCGGCAAGTGTCTGGACCGGTCCTGGGCCTCCCCTAGGTCGACCCAGCCTCAGAATGAGTACCCAGGTGCGGTGTGTAAACATCGCAACTGGGGAGACAAAGGCGGCCGAGCGTGGTGCTGGCCGGCCACCCACCCACCCGTGTGCCACCGTGGCCGCTTTCGTAGGTGCTGCTCGCAAGCAGCACTTGCCCCTACAGTCTGTTAAGACTGTACGGGGGATCTTTGTCTTCGTGGGGCGCACCGATTTGAAACATCCAGGCTGGCCCTGCCTACGGTCCCATCCTGGGTTTAACCAGATTGGATTCTGTGAGCTCACAGATCCTTAAAAGATCCGGACAAAAATCCCATCACTGGGCCTCCTCTCCAGCAGGCGAGGCTCCGTTGGCATGCCCCGGGCCACCGCAAGCCCAGCGGGCTTCCGTTTGGCCGGATCGAGGGGGGCTAAAACCGGGCGCGGCACGGGCTAGAGAAGAGATGGAGTGATGTGGTACAGGAGGACGTGGAGCTGAGTGGACTTGCCGATGACTGGTACCAGCGGTGTCAAGATTGGCCTCTGTGGAGGAGGCTCGTGAAGGACGCTGCTACTGGGCAGTTGGAGGTAGTCGCCCTCCAACAACAACGGAGGGCGGAGGAGCGACGCTCACAACAACGAGCGGAGCGCTGGGTGGCTAAAGCACAGCGGGTTGGCGCAGTAGGGGGCACAGGTGGTGCACCAGCCAGTCATCTCAGTCAGTCGAGCTGTGGCACCTGGGGTCAGCCTGTGACCTGCTGCCAGCGGGCGTTCGACACTTCACGTGGCCTCAGGGTGCACATAGCCTGGCACAAGCGTCATGGTGACGTCACTGAAACTTAGTGGCGAATGGCGGTTGTTGTTGTTGTCTCTCTGTGTGTGTGTGTCTCTGTGTGTGATGTCCCTCTCTGTGTGATGTTTCTCTGTGTGTGATGTCCCTCTGTGTGTGATGTCCCTCTGTGTGTGATGTCCCTCTGTGTGTGATGTCCCTCTGTGTGTGATGTCCCACTGTGTGTGATGTCTCTGTGTGTGTGATGTCTCTGTGTGTGTGATGTCTCTGTGTGTGTGATGTCTCTTTGTGTGTGATGTCCCTCTGTGTGTGATGTCCCACTGTGTGTGATGTCTCTGTGTGTGTGATGTCTCTCTGTGTGTGATGTCTCTCTGTGTGTGATGTCTCTCTGTGTGTGATGTCTCTCTGTGTGTGATGTCTCTCTGTGTGTGATGTCTCTCTGTGTGTGATGTCTCTCTGTGTGTGATGTCTCTCTGTGTGTGATGTCTCTGTGTGTGTGATGTCTCTCTGTGTGTGATGTCTCTCTGTGTGTGATGTCTCTCTGTGTGTGATGTCTCTCTGTGTGTGATGTCTCTCTGTGTGTGATGTCTCTCTGTGTGTGATGTCTCTCTGTGTGTGTGATGTCTCTCTGTGTGTGTGATGTCTCTCTGTGTGTGATGTCTCTCTGTGTGTGATGTCTCTCTGTGTGTGATGTCCCTCTGTGTGTGATGTCTCTCTGCGGAGGAGGAGGCTCGCGAAGGACGCTGCTGCTGCTGCTGCCGGGCAATAGGAGGCAGTCGCCCTCCGACAACGACGGAGGGAAAAAGCATCGCTCACAACGAGCCGGGGTCGGATAAAACGCAGCAAGTTGGCGCAGCATGGGGGGGGGTGGGTGGGGGCGGTGGTCGGTCAACCCGTGCCACCTGCAGGGTCTGCCCCGTGACCTCCTGCCAGCGAGCCTTCCTCGACACTTCACGTGGCCCTCAAGGCGCACCCGGCCTGGCACGGGTACCGTCGTGACGAATGGCGGGGTATCGCAGCGAACCCAACGGCCCGAGTTCTATTCCCGCTCACGGCCAACACCGGCGACGATTACGTCAACTCGTCCTGGTGCTCCCCTAGGTCGACTCGGCCTCAAATGAGTCCCTGGCGCGGTGCGTAATCGTCGCCACTCAGGAGGCAAAGGTGGCCGGGCGTGGTGCTGGCTACGTGTGCCTTGCTGGCTTTCACGGGTGCTCGCTAACGGCGCTTGCACCAACAGCCCGCCAAAGGCGGTACGGGGGATTGTTGGGTGTGCGAGTCCAACTCACCTGTGCCTCGGAGAATGGAGCTGTGACGTTGTCCAGGAGGCTGGCGAGGTCCTGCTCACAGTAGCCCATCACCAGGAAGATACTAACACACAGACACATACAGAGATACACACACACACAGATAGACACACACACACAGACAGAGATACACACACAGACACACGGATATAGACACACACAGAGATACACACAGACAAAGAGATAGACACACACACACAGATAGATACACACACAGACACGTACAGAGATACACACAGACACACAAAGATACACACACAGACACACAGAGATACACACAGACACACAGACACACAGATACACAGACACACAGATAGACACACACACACAGACAGAGATACACACACACACACAGACACGTACAGAGATACACACACACAGACACACAGAGATAGACACACACAGACACAACAACCGCCATTCGCCACTAAGTGGCGGTGACGTCACCACGACGCTTGTGCCAGGCTATGTGCACCCTGAGGCCACGTGAAGTGTCGAACGCCCGCTGACAGGAGGTCACGGGGCAGACCCAGATGCCACGGGTCGACTGACTGAGATGACTGGCTGATGCACCACCTGTGCCCCCTACTGTGCCAACCTGCTGTGCTTTAGCCACCCGGCGCTCCGCTCGTTGTTCTGAGCGTCGCTCCTCCGCCCTCCGTTGTTGTTGGAGGGCGACTACCTCCAACTGCCCAGTAGCATCCGTCATGAGCCTCCTCCACAGAGGCCGATCTTGACACCGCTGGTACCAGTCATCGGCAAGTCCACTCAGCTCCACGTCCTCCTGTACCACATCACTCCATCTCTTCTCTAGCCCGTGCCGCGCCCGCCCAGCCCCCTCAATCCGGCCGAACAAAAGCTGTTTTGGCATGCAGTGGATGGGCATGCGGGCTATATGACCCAGCCATCGCAGCCTTGCCCGCCGGAGGAGCTCACCGATGGGACCTTGCCCAGATCTTTCAAGGATTTGTGAGCTCCTCACACAATCCAGTCTGGTTAAACCCAGGATTGATCATAGGCAGGCCAGCCTAAATGTTTCTAACCGGCGAAGATGTTCCATTAGGGGGGTCCACGTGTCGCAAGCGTAGAGAAGGGAGGGAATGACCATGGCCGAGAAGACCTGAAGCTTAGTGCGGAGCGACAGACCAGGTAGCTTCCACACAGCGTTACGCAACCGATGAAAAGATATTGCCGGTCGACTGATTCGGAGTGAGACCTCTGCTGTTAAACTGGAGCCAGTCATAAGCACACTGCCCAGGTATGGGAAACTCTCCACTCTCTCCACAACTGCCCCATCACCGATTGGGAGTTGTGGGGGTGGAGTCTCCGATGGTACAAAATACCCAGGCAGGTGCTTAGTTTTGGTGGGACTGATGGTAAGGCCCCACCTCTTAGTGGCACGCTCCAGTCTCAGCAGCAGCGTTTCCAACTCCTCCTCTGACTGAGCAGCTATTAGCAAATCATCAGCATACATAACGTGGTTGAGCAATAGGGAGCCATCCCTTGACTGCACCCGGGCATCGAACAGCCTCCCATTATATCTGTACCATATGGAGATTCCCCCGGTACAGCTATTGAAGGCTTCACGAACTACTTGGTCAAAATAGATGTTAAATAATGTGGGAGCCAGAGGACATCCCTGTCGCACCCCAAGGTGTACAGGGAATGGCTCTGACTCCCGGCCACGTAGTTTTACCCGGGCCCGTTCACCATCATGAAGGTCCTTAATGATCGTGAGCAGAGGGTCAGGTACTCCAAAAGCACGAAGAACAACCCAGAGCCCAGGCCTACTGATGGTATCATAGGCCTTGACCAGGTCAATAAAGCAGAGATGTAGGTCTTGTTGGAATTCCCTACACCTCTGCTGTAGCAGACGGACAGAAAATATGGCATCTGTGCAGGACCGCCCTTTCCTGAAACCGCATTGGGGCTCCGCAAGCCTCAGCGTGCCTGGCAAGGCGATGCTGAATAATCCCTGCCAGGACCTTTCCCGGCACACTGAGGAGTGAGATGCCCCTGTAGTTGTTAAAAAGGGGGACCACCAGGGCACCAGGGCATCCTTCCAATCCTGCGGAACCCGTCCAGTGGTCCAGACCGTTGTTATGATGTCATATAGGGCAGTCTGTGCACAAACGCCACCCTCCCTCAGCATTTTGCTTGGGAGATCATCTCTGCCCGCTGCCTTTCCTGGTCTCAGACTCCGGATCGCCTTCAGTACTTCCTCAACAGATGGCACCTCAGCCAGCCACTCACAGGGGGTGACTTCTTCCAATATTTGAGGCACCGCAGCCACAGCAGGGTCATCCTCACTTTGTGCCATGATGTTTTCCTGGCTGAGGGATTTTCCCTCCCCCAGGACCTCACAGAAATGCTCAGCAAATCTGCAAACCTGTTCCTGGGGGTCGGAGATTGGATCACCGTTTTTTCCCCTAATGATGGTAATAGGTGTGGCGCTGCAGGTTACTTTTTTGATGGGAGTTAAACAGAGATTTGTGATCACGGGCCACTGAGGCAGACTCCATCTGCTCAGCAACCCGCGACCACCACCCATCCTTGCAGCGCGTCACGGCTCTCCGAACCTCCGAGCGAAGGCTGCGGTAAGCCTCCTCATTCTCTGACGTGGGATTCTGTAGCCGATGACAGTGGGCCTGTCGCTTTTTCTCAACCATCCTGAACACCTCTATCAGCCAGGGTCTCTGGGGAGGTCTGGACCGTGTACCCAAAGCAGCCATTGCAGCTGCATGAGTCACAGTCCTAAACCTCGCCCATTTACCCTCGACATCAGGAGGAGTCGGGGACGATGCCAATCCCAGCCGCAAGCGATGATGAAATTCTCGCTTGCAACTTTCATCAGATAACTGAGACCAGACCACTTTAGGTTGGAATGGGGTCCTGGGTGTACACCCACCACCGGAGTGGAAGAATGGCAGGCACATCTTACAAATGACTAGTCGATGGTCAGAGGGCAGATCAGCTCCACGGTAGGTCCTGGTGTCAAGGACATGGGCTCGCATCCGCTGGTCCGTCACTATGTAGTCCAGCAGATGTTCTTGCTTTGACCCGGCATGCATCCATGATGTTGTGTGGATGCGCCGATGCCGGAACAGCGTGTTGGTAATTACAAGCCCATGGGCTGCACAAATATCTAGCAGCCTCCTACCGTTGTTATTGAGCTGATCTGGCCCATGCCCTCCAATCACTCCAGACCAGGTGCCAGTATCATGACCAACTCGGGCATTGAAGTCACCCACCATGATGACTCTATCCCGAGGGGCCACTTTAGCCAGCACCTGTGACAGGAGGTCATAGAAGGCATCTGACTCATCGGCTTTGCCTGCATCCCTCCACGGATGTTCATCTTCGGTGGGGGCATAAGTAACCACGACCACCATTCCTCGCCTCCGGTTGATGGGAAGGCGAGCCCAAAGTAGCCTGGGGCTTACAGCTTCCCACATCTCACCGCCACGCTCCCACGCCCCCTTCATTCTTTTGTTCAAAAGAAGAGCCACACCCTGTTGTTTGGCAGTCTGCTGCCCCGAGTAGAGGACTGTCCACCCCTCATGGTGGCAGGAGCCAGAGCCGGTCAACCGGACCTCCTGAATGCCACAGAGATCCAGGCGGTACCGGTCCAGCTCCCGACAGAGGAGTGGCAGCCTCTCCTCCGCAGTGAGCGTTCGAACATTCCACGTGGCCACCCGTAGTGGCTTTTCGTTGTTTCTGGAGGAGCCCCGAGGGTAGATATTCAATCTCCTGGCTCCGCCAATTGGGGTTTGGCCAGGAGACGTCATAGACGCCTGGCCCCCTGGGGTCTCCGGCACAAGCTTATTAGTTACATATTTCAGTTTAACTCGTGGTTTCGTGGTAATTAATTGAAGGTGGAGGGGTTACCAGCCCCTCGCACCCGTCCAGAGCCCCCGTTTAGCCCCTGTGGTGGACACAGACGCCATGAGGGGAGGAGCCAATCAAAATTGGACCTCCCCCCACAGCACTGTCCACGACAGAGTTGCCCGTCCGGCACCGCGAGGAGGTACTCCAGAGATAGACACACACACAGACACATACAGAGATACACACACACACAGACAGACACATACAGAGATACACACACACAGATACACACACACACAGACAGAGATACACACACACACACAGAGATACACACACAGACACACAGACAGAGATACACACACACACACATACAGGGATACACACACACAGACACACAGAGATAGACACACAAAGATCCCCCATATAGCCTTAACAGACTGTAGGGGCAAGTGCTGTTAGCGAGCACCTATGAAGGCCGGAACGGTACACGAGGGGGTGGGTGGCCAGCACCACGCCCGACCGCCTTTGTCTCCCCAGTGGCGATATTTACACACCGCACCAGGTACTCATTTTGAGGCTGAGTCGACCTAGGGGAGGCCCGGGACCGGTTCAGATAATCGTCACTGGTGTTGGCCGTGAGCGGGAATCGAACCCGGGTCGCCTGGTTCATAGCGCAGCGTAGCGCTAACCGCTACACCACCGCTCCCCACATGCTCACACACACAGACACACACACAGGTATAGACACAGACACACACACGTACACACACACGTACACACACACACACACGTGTGCTTACCTCTCTAACCGGGCTCCCACCACCACCTCCTTCAGCTCCACCACGTTGGGGTGATGCAGGCGGAGCAGCAGATTTATCTCCCGCATGCTGCTGATGGGCAGCCCTGCTTAGCACAAGACAAAGATCCCCCTGGACAGCCTTCACAGACTGTTGGAGCAAACGTTTTTAGCGAGCACCTATGAAAACCTGCACCTTGGCGCACGAGGGGATGGGTGGCCAAACCAGTGGCGACGTTTACTACACACCGCACCAGGTGACTCATTTGAGGCCGAGTCGACCTAGGGGAGGCCCGGGACCGGTTCGGATAATCGTCACTGGTGGTGTTGGCCGTGAGCGGGAATCGAACCCGGGTTCGCCAGGTTCGTAGCTAAGCGCACTAACCACGACACAACCGCTCCCCACACACACACACACACAGATTCAGACATGCACAAAGATAAAGACAAAGATCCCCCGTGTAGACTTAACAGACTGCAGGGGCAAGTGTTGTTAGCGAGCAGCACCTATGAAGGCCGGAACGGTACACGAGTGGGTGGGTGGCCAGCACCACGCCCGACCGACTTTGTCTCCCCAGTGGCGATGTTTACACACCGCACCAGGTACTCATTTGAGGCTGAGTCGACCTAGGGGAGGCCCGGGACCGGTTCGGATAATCGTCACTGGTGGTGTTGGCCGTGAGCGGGAATCGAACCCGGGTCGCCAGGTTCATAGCGCAGCATAGCGCTAACTGCTACACCACCGCTCCCACACAGACACACAGATTCAGACATGCACACACACACATACACTCACTTTTGACAAGGAGACTGCTACACGTTTAAGACTTGGACCACGTCAGCCCATCCCTTCTGTAGCCCGTGCCGCACTCATTCATCCCCAACACGAAGCATTCGGGGGTCGTGTGGCCTGCAACCCACGCCCGGCCGCCTTTGTCTCCCCATTCCTGTTATTCACGACCCATACCCGCACCACCACCACCATCACCAACCAGTAACGGCAGACGATACTGATTAAGAGATTTTGATTTAAAGCTTTCGTGACTGCAGGGATTCATATTCTTGGTCCTTTCGGTAGAGTCACGTAGAAGGGAAACAATAAAATAATAAAAAAATATAAAACAATTAAATTCTCACGACGTTTCGACTTCAACACAAGCAGCAATCATCATCAGGTGTTGTGTGTGAGAGTGAGTGGAGTTTGTGTTATCTCCCCCTGTTCTACAGAGTGAGTGAGTGGGTGAGTGTTGTGTGTGAGAGTGAGCGGAGTTTGTGTGATCTCCCCCGGTTCTACAGAGTGAGTGAGTGGGTGAGTGTTGTGTGTGAGAGTGAGTGGAGTTTGTGTGATCTCCCCCTGTTCTACAGAGTGAGTGGAGTTTTTTTGATCTCCCCTTGTTCTACAGAGTGAGTGAGTGGAGTTTGTGTGATCTCCCCCTGTTCTACAGAGTGAGTGAGTGGAGTTTGTGTGATCTCCCCCTGTTCTACAGAGTGAGTGGAGTTTGTGTGATCTCCCCCTGTTCTACAGAGTGAGTGAGTGGAGTTTGTGTGATCTCCCCCTGTTCTACAGAGTGAGTGGAGTTTGTGTGATCTCCCCCTGTTCTACAGAGCGAGTGGAGTTTGTGCGATCTCCCCCTGTTCTACAGAGTGGGTGAGTGAAGTTTGTGTGATCTCCCCCTGTTCTACAGAGTGAGTGAGTGGAGTTTGTGTGATCTCCCCCTGTTCTACAGAGTGAGTGAGTGGAGTTTGTGTGATCTCCCCCTGTTCTACAGAGTGAGTGAGTGGAGTATGTATGATCTCCCCCTGTTCTACAGAGTGAGTGAGTGGAGTATGTATGATCTCCCCCTGTTCTATAGAGTGAGTGGAGTTTGTGTGATCTCCCCCTGTTCTACAGAGTGAGTGGAGTTTGTGTGATCTCCCCCTGTTCTACAGAGTGAGTGAGTGGAGTATGTATGATCTCCCCCTGTTCTACAGAGTGAGTGAGTGGAGTTTGTGTGATCTCCCCCTGTTCTACAGAGTGAGTGAGTGGAGTATGTATGATCTCCCCCTGTTCTACAGAGTGAGTGAGTGGAGTTTGTGTGATCTCCCCCTGTTCTACAGAGTGAGTGAGTGGAGTATGTATGATCTCCCCCTGTTCTACAGAGTGAGTGAGTGGAGTTTGTGTGATCTCCCCCTGTTCTACAGAGTGTGAACGAGTGGAGTTTAACACGTAGGCTTTCGCGACCAGCATTCTTCGCAATGAAGGTTTTTGGGGTTAGTAGATCACGTTATTTATAAACGCGTCGCAACCCTCCACCACAGTAAAAATGTCTAAAACGTCGACAGTGATGACGTCATCCTGCACTGTAAAAAGACCGGGAGCAGGCGGATGGCTTCACTGTTCCGGCAAATCGCTCGCGAAGATGCTGGACGCAATAGCCACAAATGTCGTGGATTCACTCTTCAAGCGCACCGCGGTGGGCTGAAGAAGTAACGAATTGGCGCCTTAAATTTCGATTTAAAGCTTTCGTGACTGCAGTAATTCATATTCTTAGCTCTTTCGGTAAAGTCACGTTGAAGGGAAACAATAAAACAATGAAATATATATAAAACAATAAAAATTCTCACGACGTTTCGACCATAACACAAACGGTCGTCATCAGGTTTGCGTTATGGTCGAAACGTCGTGAGAATTTTTTTTGTTTTATATATTTTATTATTTTATTGTTTCCCTTCAACGTGACTTTACCGAAAGAGCTGAGAATATGAATTGGCGCCTTGTTGACGTGACACGTGGATCGCGGGGAAATAAATAATTACCGTTGACAAAACATTGTGCCCGTTTTTGTTTTGTTATTTTTTTCTCACACCGCGCACCGCCAGCGGACCCGCCAAGACGTCCATTCATCGTTTATTCTGCTCGAGGTTCTGGCCGTGGGTTGTCACGTCAATAATTTGTCGACGCCTTTGCTCCGGCTGCATTGCACATTTTCCCTCCCCGCGATGTCCTTAAACTGCCGCCACTGCTGACAATCTTGGGCTAAGCTAGAATGGGCCAAGTCTACGTCTCAACGGATCTCCACGCAACTCTATGGATCTCCACGCAACTCTATGGATCTCCACGCAACTCTACGGATCTCCACGCAACTCTATGGACCTCCACGCAACTCTATGGATCTCCACGCAACTCTACGGATCTCCACGTAACTCTACGGATCTCCATGCAACTCTCGGATCTCCACGCAACTCTATGGATCTCCACGCAACTCTACAGATCTCCACGCAACTCTACGGATCTCCAAGCAACTCTACGGATCTCCACGCAACTCTATGGATCTCCACGCAACTCTACGGATCTCCACGCAACTCTATGGATCTCCACGCAACTCTACCGATCTTCATGCTACTCTTTGGATCTCCACGCAACTCTACGGATCTTCATGCAACTCTATGGATCTCCACGCAACTCTATGGATCTCCACGCAACTCTATGGATCTCCATGCAACTCTACGGATCTCCACGTAACTCTACGGATCTCCATGCAACTCTCGGATCTCCATGCAACTCTACGGATCTCCACGCAACTCTACGGATCTCCATGCAACTCTATGGATCTCCATGCAACTCTATGGATCTCCATGCAACTCTATGGATCTCCACGCAACTCTACGGATCTCCACGCAACTCTACGGATCTCCACGCAACTCTATGGATCTCCATGCAACTCTACGGATCTCCACGCAACTCTACGGATCTCCACGCAACTCTACGGATCTCCACGCAACTCTATGCATCTCCATGCAAGTCTACAGATCTCCACGCAACTCTATGGATCTCCATGCAACTCTACGGATCTCCACGCAACTCTACGGATCTCCACGCAACTCTACGGATCTCCACGCAACTCTACGGATCTCCATGCAACTCTATGGATCTCCATGCAACTCTACGGATCTCCATGCAACTCTACGGATCTCCACGCAACTCTACGGATCTCCACGCAACTCTATGGATCTCCACGCAACTCTACGGATCTCCACGCAACTCTATGGATCTCCACGCAACTCTACGGATCTCCATGCAACTCTATGGATCTCCATGCAACTCTATGGATCTCCATGCAACTCTATGGATCTCCACGCAACTCTACGGATCTCCATGCAACTCTACGGATCTCCACGCAACTCTACGGATCTCCACGCAACTCTATGGATCTCCACGCAACTCTATGGATCTCCATGCAACTCTACGGATCTCCATGCAACTCTATGGATCTCCATGCAACTCTATGGATCTCCATGCAATTCTATGGATCTCCACACAACTCTACGGATCTCCACGCAACTCTACGGATCGCCACGCAACTCTACGGATCTCCACGCAACTCTACGGATCTCCACACAACTCTACGGATCTCCATGCAACTCTACGGATCTCCACGCAACTCTATGGATCTCCATGCAACTCTACGGATCTCCACGCAACTCTATGGATCTCCATGCAACTCTACGGATCTCCATGCAACTCTATGGAGCTCCACGCAACTCTACGGATCTCCACGCAACTCTACGGATCTCCACGCAACCCCCCGGGTTCTCTGTGTAAACCCTACGGGTCACCACCATGCAACTCTGTGCAACTGCAACGTCCTGTAAGCTGCTACCACTGCCCAAGGACACGTGCCGGGGCCGCCCTTCTAAGGGGGAGCCGTTTCCAGGGGGGCCTCTTCACGCGGCCCAAATCAAGCCCGAGTCCAAGTTTGAAGTTAGCAGGAAACACCGCCCTGAGCGAGAGTCAGGAGATTCGATGAAGTCTCGCTAATGACATCATGGCTGGGTCAGGACGTAGCAGCTGCACCGCTAAAACTTCTCTCACTCAATCAGTTCCCCAATTAATCAGCTGTTAGGGGCTGCCTCACTTCCCGTAAATTGGGTTAGGGCGATGAAAGGGTGAAACACACCCTCGCGCTCGCACACAAACACACACACACACACAAAGATCCCCCGTGTAGCCTGTAACAGGCTGTAGGGGCAAGTGCTGTTAGCGAGCAGCACCTGTGAAGGCCGGAAGGGTACACGAGGGGGTGGGTGGCCAGCACCACGCCCGGCCGCCTTTGTCTCCCTAGTAGCGATGTTCACTACACACCGCACCAGGTTACTCATTTGAGGCCGAGTCGACCTAAGGGAGGAGGCCCGGGACGACCGGTTCAGAGAATCGTCACTGGCGGCGTCGGCCGTGAGAGTGAATCGAACCCGGGCTCGCCGGGATCGTAGCGCGGCGTAGCGCTAACCGCTGCACCGCCGCTCCCGCAGCACACAAAGTGCCGTGGTGTTGGCCACCCAAGCCCTCGTGTGCTAATTCCGGCCTTCATAGGCGCTCGCTTACAGCCTCTTGCCAACACACGCACGCAACAGCAACGACAACAACAACCACCACCGCCATTCGCCACTAAGTGGCGGTGACGTCACCACGACGCTTGTGCCAGGCCATGTGTACCTTGAGGTCACGCGAAGTGTCGAACGCCCGCTGGCAGGAGGTCACGGGGCAGACCCAGGTGCCACGGGTCGACCGACTGAGACGACTGGCTGATGCACCACCTGTGCCCCATTACTGCGCCAACCTGCTGTGCTTTAGCCACCCGGCGCTCGGCTCGTTGTTGCGAGCGTTGGCGCCTCTGCCCGGCTGCCTTTGTCTCCCCAGCGTGATAGGTAAACCCGCACACACGTGGGAGCACGTACACACACACACAGACACACACACTCCGCACCGTCTTTTTCTTTGTCCATGCGCACTTTCTTCAACGCCACAATCTCCCCGCTCCGCGTGTCCCTCGCCCGGTCTGTGACACAAACAGAGACACACACACAGAGACACACACACACACAGACACAGAGACACACACACAGACACACACACAGAGACACACACACAGAGAGACACACACACAGAGACACAGAGACACACACACACAGACACACACACACAGACACAGAGACACACACACAGAGACACAGAGACACACACACACACAGAAACACACACACACAGACACACACACAGAGACACACACACAGAGACACAGACACACACACAGAGACACACAAAGATAAAGATCCCCCATATAGCCTTAACACACTGGAGGGGCAAGTGCTGTTAGCGAGCACCTATGAAGGCCAGCACGGTGGCACACGAGGGGGTGGGTGGCCAGCACCACGCCCGACCGCTTTTGTCCCCCTAGTGACAATGTTTACACACCGCACCAGGTACTCGAGGCTGAGTCGACCTAGGGGAGGCCCGGGACCGGTTCAGATAATCGTCACTGGTGGTGTTGGCCGTGAGCGGGAATGGAACCCGGGTCGCCAGGTTCATAGCGCAGCATAGCGCTAACCGCTGCACCACCGCTCCCCACACAGAGACACACACACACAGAGACACACACACATATACACAGAGACACACACACACACAGACACACACACACACAAAGACACAGATTCCCCCATACAGCCTTTAATAGACTATTAAGGCACACGAAGGGGTGGGTAGCCAGCACCACGCCCGGCCACCTTTGACTCCCGAGTGGTGATGATTACACACCACACCAGGTACTCATTTGAGGCCGAGTCAACCTAGGGGAGGCTCAGGACGAGTTAAGATCATTGTCACCAGTGACGGCCGTGTATATTTGGAGTTTGCTAGTCTCCCTCCCTATTTTTCTCCCGGGTCCTCCGGTTATTCCCTCCACATTTAGAATACACATCACGAAGTTTGGAGCATTTGGCTGCTGTACATTTGCACGTGATGATGATGATAAGCCGCTTTGTTGAGCTATCATTTGTGATGGCGAGGTGGCTTCTGAAAATGAGACTCAGTGGGACTTACCTGAGATGCTAATTTCTCTGCTCCAACAGCTACCCCAGCAGACCCACCTCTCTCTCTCTGCCCCCCCCACCCTCTCTCTCTATATTTGAGGCCTCGACACAGAGGCATTGGGTCTCTGTGTGTCTATGTTGTGTGTCTCTCTCTGTGTCTGTGTCTCTGTGTGTATCTCTCTCTGTGTGTCTCTCTCTTTGTGTCTAAGTTGTGTCTCTCAGTGTGTGTCTCTCTATGTGTGTCTCTGTGTGTGTCTCTCTGTGTCTCTCTCTGTGTCTGTGTGTCTCTCTCTGTGTGTCTGTGTGTTGTCTCTCTCTGTGTGTCTCTCTCTGTGTGTCTAAGTTGTGTCTCTCTCTGTCTCTGTGTCTGTGTGTCTGTGTCTCTGTGTGTGTCTCTCTCTCTCTCTCTCTGTGTCTCTGTGTGTCTCTCTCTGTGTGTCTGTGTTGTTTCTCTCTGTGTGTCTCTCTCTGTGTGTCTATGTTGTGTGTCTATCTCTGCTTGTGTGTCTCTCTGTGTGTGTCTCCGTGTCTGTGTTGTGTCTCTCTCTCAAATGTAGTTCTACCTGATCACGGTTGCTTGTGTTGCAATCGAAACGTCGTATTCCATTATTTAATTTACATTCTTTCTATCTACGTGACTTCACCGAAAGAACCAAAGAGTTATTCCTGCAGTCACAAAAAGCTTCAAATCAAGTTTGTGCCTTGCCTGGTCAAGTAAAAAAGATAGTTTCCTAAAAATAAAGTTTAAAATCGCAGGGGGAATTCCACGGTGTTCATAGTTCACATCAGCCACGATCGATCCGCTGCTGGATGAAGGCCTCCGCACAAACCGTTGTCGCCCCAAACGACCCACAGGATCGGCGCGCTATCAGGAGGGCTTCAATCATTGATGGCCAGGTCACTTCTGATAAAGAGCTGTATAGCTCAGTGGTGACCTTACCGAATAAAATAAAAATCGCGCTCGCCCACTCACTCACCGACACCCTCACCTGCTTGATCGCTCATTCGCTCGCTCGCTCACTCACTCACTCACCGACAACCTCACCTGCTTGATCGCTCGCTCGCTCACTCACTCACTCGCCAAAACCCTCACCTGCTTGATCGCTCACTCACTCACTCGCTCACCAACATCCTCACCTGCTTGATCGCTCGCTCGCTCACTCACTCACTCACCGACAACCTCACCTGCTTGATTGCTCACTCACTCACTCACCGACAACCTCACCTGCTTGATCGCTCATTCGCTCGCTCGCTCACTCACTCACTCACCGACACCCTCACCTGCTTGATCGCTCATTCGCTCACTCACTCGCTCACTCACTCACTCACCGACACCCTCACCTGCTTGATCGCTTGATCGCTCGCTCGCTCACTCACTCACTCACTTCCTCACTCAATCTCTCTCTCTCTCTCCCGCTGTCTGACTCACACACGATGCCGTAGGTTCCCTCTCCGATGCGATTCTGCTTCACGAACTCCGTGACGGCGCGACATCGTCCCAGCTGCACGCACGGCACACACAAGACACACAAACACAGTGCTACACACACAATACTATACACACACACAATACTATACACACAACACTACACACACAATACTATACACACACAACACACACACACAGTGCTACACACACAACACTATACACACACACAACACACAATACTATACACACACAGTCCTACACACACAATACTATACACACACACACAGTACTACAAACACAGTACTACACATACACACAACACACACACAAGACACACACACACAACACTATACACACACACACAGTACTACACACACACAACACACAAACACAGTGCTACACACACAATACTATACACACACACACAGTACTACACACACACAACACACAAACACAGTGCTACACACACAATACTATACACACACAGTACTACACACACACAACACACAAACACAGTGCTACACACACAATACTATACACACAATACTATACACACAGCACTACACACACAATACTATACACACACACAACTCACACACAGTACTACACACACATAAGACACACAAACACAGTCCTACACACACAATACTATACACACACACAGCACTACACACACAAGACACACAAACACAGTACTACACACACAATACTATACACACACACACACAGTGCTACACACACAACACACACACGCACAACACACACACAGTACTACACACACAATACTATACACACACAAGACACACACAGTGCCACACACACAATACTAAACACACACACAAACACAGTCCTACACACACAATACTATACACACAACACACACACAGTACTACAGACACACAGTACTACACACACAACACACACACAGTACTACACACACAATACTGTACACACACAAACACAGTGCTACACACACAATACTATACACCCACAAGACACACAAACACAGTCCTACACGCAATACTATACACACAACACACACACACATTACAACACACACAATACTATACACACACACAAGACACACACAATACTACACACACACAGTACTACACACACACAAGACACACACGGTACTACACACACAATACTATACACACACACAACACACACACAGTACTACACATACACAATACTACACACACAACACACACACAATACCATACACACACAACACACACACAATACCATACACACACAACACACACACAGTACAACACACACACAGTACTACACACACAACACACACGGTACAGCACACACAATACTATACACACACAACACACACACACAGTGCTACACACACAATACTATACACACAGTGCCACACACACACAGTACTACACACACACAGTACTACACACACACAACACACAGTGCTACACACACACAATACTATACACACACACACAGTACTACACACACAATACTATACACACACAGAACTACACACACAATACTATACACACACACAGTACTACACACACAATACTATACACACAACAACAACTGCCATTCGCCACTAAGTGGCGGTGACGTCACCACGACGCTTGTGCCAGGCTATGCGCACCCTGAGGCCACGTGAAGTGTCGAACGCCCGCTGGCAGGAGGTCACGGGGCAGACCCAGGTGCCACGGGTCGACTGACTGAGATGACTGGCTGAGGCACTGTCCTTGAATTTGATTGGTCCACACCCGAGACGGCTTTTCTTAGAGCCCTTAGTCTCTCCACTGGTGTTGGACCAGAAGACGCCAAAAGGCGTACAACTCAAAAACAGCGCACTATCAGAGTACTGAGGGCTCGGGGTGAGCATTTACATTATGAGACCTCCTTTGCCAGTAACAAGATATAGGAATAGGTTTTACCCTTTTAACAGGTGTCAGTTTTTGTGCCAGTTAAAAGGGTAAAACCTATTACTATATCTTGTTACTGGCAAAGGAGGTCTCATAATATATAAAACAATAAAAATTCTCACGTTTCGACCGTAACGCAAACGGTCATCGTCAGGTATGAAAATCAACGGCGCTAACTTCACACCTGATGACGACCGTTTGCGTTACGGTCGAAACGTCGTGAGAATTTTCATTGTTTCACATATATATTTTTTATTATTTTATTGTTTTCCCTTCAACGTGACTTTACCGAAAGAGCTGAGAATATGAATCACTGCAGTCACGAAAGCTTTAAAACACACGGTGCTGTTTAACACGTAGGCTTTCGCGACAAATATTATCCACAAGAGTTTCTTTTTTGGGTGAGATTGCGTTAATCTAGGGGTGTCGCTAAACCCGCCGTCAGCCGCAATAGCCGGTCAGTAAGGTTCGTCACGTGCACAGAACGTGGCAATTCATTACTAGTACAGCACTTGAGTGCACCCACAACATTTACAATTCCAGTACGACGTATCGCCCGTGCAATTACAGCCAGCATCATCAGGCGACAGCCAGATTTGTGATTAAACTCCGCTCGCGATGGAGATGCGTCAGGACGAGCCCAGCGCAAGTTAAAAATATCGCAGGCCGAAGACGGCCTAGCTGACCCAGGAGTCTTAAAGAATGGTGATCGTTTAGCAAAACGGAGCAATTCACAGTACCATACTGTATAAACCGCGTACTCTATGTATTCATTCATTACAATACTGTATCCATAATAACGGTTTTAGGGTTAGATCGCGTTTATTTATAAATGTGTCGTAACCCTCCACCACCCGACACGGCCAATCAGCAAAAAAAGTGTCACGTTGACAAAATACAAATAATTCACTACTTTAGCCCACCAGTGTGTTGAAGAGTGAATCCACATTTACAGTTTGAGTACGACGTTTCGCTGGTAAATACTTACAGCATCATCGGGCAATTCGCCAGAATGGTGTATCGCGCGGTAAAATTTAAAGTAACAAAAAAAACCAAGGTCAATTCTTAGCCTACCTGTATGAACTGCAATTTCACGGAAAGGAAACAACCCTATCTGCTTATAAAATATAAAAACAAAAAAAAACCCTTAACGTGCTTGGAAACGCAAAAGAGCACGGTGAACAAAATGAACGCGCTAACGCCGGCACGACTTTGCCCCGTCGACCGCCGTCGAGGGCGAGGCATGCAAGGCGGCACGCAAGGCGGCATGCAAGGCGGCACACAAGGCGGCATGCAAGGCGGCACACAAGGCGGCATGCAAGGCGGCACACAAGGCGGCATGCAAGGCGGCACGCAAGGCCGCGGCGGTGTGGACGTTTACATCCCCGGCGGCGTCGCGACTGGGCCCGAGTCTCGAACCCCGTCCGTCCGCCCGCCCGCCCGCCCGCCCGCCCCGCGCGAAATTTTAACACGAAAAAAAACCAAAACACACCGAACAATTTTTCGTGCCGTATCCGCCGTCGCCACCGCGAGACCGTCGTGAGTCGGGGGGCTGGGGGTTGGGGGTTGGGCCATCTGCATCGCGGCGTGCACGCATAACGCAAGTCGCCGATAACGGACACCGAACTGCGGTTTCTAACGAACGCGGCAAGCCGCCTCCGTAACCCCAACCGGCCTACGCTCGCACCTGATTGGCCCGCGGGCGATGACGTCACGTTTGGCCTCTCCCGGGAGGGTTTCTCCGCGAATCACGGAGCTCCGCTCACCGCATCTTACCCCCGCCGACGTAGACCCGGTCGCCCCACACAGCGGCCGCCAATTCGCCACGGAGTGGCGGTGACATCACCAAAGCGCTTGTGCCAGGCCAGGCGCACGTCAAGTGTCGGAGGCTCGCTGATGGGAGGTCACGGGCCAGGCCCAGGCCCAGGCGTTGTAGATTAACTAACTCGGTTAACTATACGAGACAAAGATCACCCCTGGGGCCTCACACCTGGGGCCTCACCCCTGATCCTTCCCCTCTGGCTCCTCACCAGCGACCCCATGTCTCCTCACCCCTGATCCTTCCCCTCTGGCTCCTCACCAGCGACCCCATGTCTCCTCACCCCCCGTGTCTCCTCACCCCCCCTGGCTACTCACCACCGACCCCGTGTCTCCTCGCCCCCCGTGTCTCCTCACCAGCGACCCCGTGTCTCCTCACCCCCCCGTGTCTCCTCACCAGCGACCCCGTGTCTCCTCACCCCCCGTGTCTCCTCACCACCCCGTGTCTCCTCACCAGCGACCCCGTGTCTCCTCACCCCCCCGTGTCTCCTCACCCCCCATGTCTCCTCACCCCCCCGTGTCTCCTCACCAGCGACCCCGTGTCTCCTCACCCCCCGTGTCTCCTCACCCCCCGTGTCTCCTCACCAGTGACCCCGTGTCTCCTCACCCCCCCGTGTCTCCTCACCAGTGACCCCGTGTCTCCTCACCCCCCGTGTCTCCTCACCAGTGACCCCGTGTCTCCTCACCAGTGACCCGTGTCTCCTCACCAGTGACCCCGTGTCTCCTCACCCCCCGTGTCTACTCACCACCACCCCGTGTCTCCTCACCCCCGTGTCTCCTCACCCCGTGTCTCCTCACCAGCGACTCCTCACCAGTGACCACTCACCCTGTGAGCACGCCGTGGCAGGGAGATTCGGTCCCCACGGAAGGACCTCAGTGCGAGCTCCGGCTCCTCACCACTACAACGTGTCTCCTCACCAGCGACCCTGTGTCTCCTCACCAGTGACCCCGTGTCTCCTCACCACCACCCCATGTCTCCTCACCACCACCCCGTGTCTCCTCACCACCACCCCGTGTCTCCTCACCACCACCCCGTGTCTCCTCACCAGCGACCCCGTGTCCCCTCACCAGTGACCCCGTGTCTCCTCACCAGTGACCCCGTGTCTCCTCACCAGTGACCCCGTGTCTCCTCACCCCCCGTGTCTCCTCACCCCCCGTGTCTCCTCACCAGCGGCCACTCACCCTGTGAGCACGCCGCGGCAGGGAGATTCGGTCCCCGCGGAAGGACCTCAGTGCGAGCTCCGGCTCCTCCTCGGGCTCCTCGTCGCCACGCTCCACCTCGCTCATCCTCCTCCGTCAGACTCGGGGTCTGGCGGAGGAGTGGGAGAGCAAAGTTCAGCGACTCGGAGGGAGGGAGGGGACTCACGGGGACTCACAGTGACTCACAGGGAGTGAGGGGACTCACAGGGACTCACAGGGACTCAGAGGGACTCACAGTGACTCACAGGGACTCACAGTGACTCACAGGGAGTGAGGGGACTCACAGGGACTCACAGTGACTCAGAGGGAGTGAGGAGACTCACAGGGACTCACAGTGACTCAGAGGGAGTGAGGGGACTCACAGGGACTCACAGTGACTCAGAGGGAGTGAGGGGACTCACAGGGACTCACAGGGAGTGAGGGGACTCAGAGGGACTCACAGGGACTCACAGGGAGTGAGGGGACTCACAGGGACTCAGAGGGAGTGAGGGGACTCACAGGGACTTACAGGGAGTGAAGGGACTCACAGGGACTCACAGGGACTCACAGGGAGTGAGGGGACTCACGGGGACTCGGAGCGAATGACTCACAGTGACTCGGAGGAAGGGAGGGAGGGGACTCACAGTGACTCACAGTGACTCAGAGGGACTCACAGTGACTCACAGTGACTCAGAGGGACTCACAGTGACTCAGAGGGACTCAGAGGGACTCACAGTGACTCACAGTGATTCACAGGGACTCTCAGTGACTCACAGTGACTCACAGTGACTCAGAGGGACTCACAGTGACTCACAGTGACTCACAGGGACTCACAGTGACTCTCAGTGACTCACAGTGACTCTCAGGGACTCGGAGGGAGCGAGGGGACTCAGAGCGAACGACTCACAGCGACTCGGAGCGACTCACAGTGACTCGGAGGGACTCACAGTGACTCACAGCGACACGGAGGGAGCGACTCACAGACAGGGAGCGACTCAGAGGGAGCGACTCAGAACGACTCAGAGGGAACGACTCAGAACGACTCACAGGGACACAACAGCTACTCAGAGGGAACGACTCACAGGGACTGGGAGCGAGTCAGAGGGAGCGACTCAGAGGGAACGACTCAGAGGGAACGACTCAGAGGGAGCGACTCACAGAGACTGGGACGACTCTGAGGGAACGACTCAGAGGGAACGACTCACAGGGAACGACTCAGAGGGAGCGACTCACAGAGACTGGGACGACTCTGAGGGAACGACTCACAGGGAACGACTCAGAGGGAACGACTCAGAGGGACTGGGAGCGACTCAGAGGGAACGACTCAGAGGGAACGACTCAGAGGGAGCGACTCACAGGGACTGGGACGACTCTGAGGGAACGACTCACAGGGAACGACTCACAGGGAACGACTCAGAGAGAGCGACTCAGAGGGAACGACTCAGAGGGACTCACAGGGACTGGGAGCGACTCGGAACGACTCACAAGGACTGGGACGACTCAGAGGGAACGACTCACAGAGAGCGCGACTCACAGGGAACGACTCACAGGGAACGACTCACAAAGAGAGCGACTCACAGGGAACGACTCTGAGGGAACGACTCACTCAGGCGGTCCTCCTCGGCGTTTCACAATTCCCAGTTCGCTTGCGCCGCGGCCGCCTCAATGAGGCGGCAACGTCGGCGCCGATTGGTTGGAGCGGCGCGCTTGCCCCGGGGGCAGCTGACCAATCGCGTGCGCCGATTCCGGGGGTGGGCGGGGCGGATCGGGGTGGAGTGGGGGGGGGGCGCGCGCCGCTTCTCAACAACTACGGGTGGCGAGAGGCAGGGACGTGAAGGCGTGGCGCGTGCGCACTACGGATTACGAAACGCGCCGCTTATCCAGACTGGGGATTCTAAATCGCGTTTTTTATTATTATTATAGTAGGCCATGCTCTGGACGGGGGAATCCGATGAGCTATGAAGCTCTTTCACACACACACGTTGACGTTACAACGATAAACGGTACAAATAAAAAACACATACGATAAGAGCGGCCGTCCTAGAATGACGTCACGCGATTTTGGACGATATTTGACCTCCCCCCTCAAATATGACGTCACAAAGAGTCAGACCCCCCCTCAAACCTCAAATATGACGTCACAAAGCTCTGCCCACCCCCAAAATAAAAACATATTTCAATTTTTTTAATAAATCACATGCTTCAAATCGCTTTAAACTATCGTCACTGTAAAATTTTGATTTAAAGCTTTCGTGACTGCAGTAATTCATATTCTTAGTTCTTTCGGTAAAGTCACGTTGAAGGGACGACCGTTTGTGTTATGGTCGAAACGTCGTGATAATTTTTATTGTTTTATATGTATTTTATTATTTTGTTGTTTCCCTTCAACGTGACTTTATCGAAAGAACTAAGGATATCGTCACTGTAGTTGCGTATTTAACGTGGCGCTGCACTCTGATGTTGTAGGAAGAACACATTCGTTACAAAGTCTATTTACATTAAGTAGAACGTGTTGTGTCTGTGTTTATATTTGAAGTTGCGCAATTTTTACGTGACGTCACATTTCTCAAACCCCGCCCCCCCGCACGTCACACATCTTCACAAATGTAAACGTGCTTCAAATCGCTTTAAACTATTGTCATTGTAGTGCGTATTTAATGTGGCGCTGCACTCTGATGTTGTAGGAAGAACACGTTTGTTACAAAGTCTGTTTAATTAAGTAGAACGTGTTGTGTCTGTATTTATATTTAAAGTTGCGCAATTTTGAGGTGACGTCACAGTTCTCAAACCCCGCCCCCCCCCACCTCGTCCGACCCCCCCCCCCCCAGGTGTGTGACGTCATTTATGGACGGCCCCTTACCAGGTAAGGCCCATCACTCAGCTTTGCCGCTCTTTTACATCGAGTGACCTGCCCATCAATTAAACTATTTTTTTTTATTCTTAGCTCTTTCGGTAAAGTCACGTTGAAGGGAAACAATAAAATAATAAAATAAATATATCAAACAATAAAAATTCTCACGACGTTTCGACCATAACACAAACGGTCGTCATCAGGTGTGACAACCAAAGGCAAGAAACATTTTTTAAAAAGTGGCGGTTCGCGTTTATTTATTTTTAAACGGTGTACTTATTTATTTTATTTATAATAAATAAATATTTATTTAAAAATACATCGTTTAAAAATAAATAAATAAATGCGGACCGTCACTTCTTTTAAATGTTTCTTGCCGTTGGTTTTCACACCTGATGATGACTGTTTGTGTTATGGTCGAAACGTCGTGAGACTTAAATTTTGATTTCAAGCTTTCGTGACTGCAGTAATTCATATTCTTAGTTTTTTCGGTAAAGTCACGTTGAAGAGAAACAACAAAATAATAAAATGTATATAAAACAATAAAACAATTCTCACGACGTTTCGACCATAACTCAAACGGTCATCAACAGGTGTGTTGGTTTGCATAAATTTATTTTAAATACATAAATGCGCCGTTTAAAAATAAATGTATGCAAACCAACACACCTGAAGATGACCGTTTGAGTTATGGTCGAAACGTCGTGAGAATTTTTTATTGTTTTATATATATTTTATTATTTTGTTGTTTCTCTTCAACGTGACTTTACCGAAAAAACTAAGAATAAGTCGTGAGACTTTTTACAGTTTTATATATTTTTTATTATTTTATTGTTTCCCCTTCAACGTGACTTTACCGAAAGAGCTAAGAATATGAATTACTGCAGTCACGAAAGCTTTAAATCGATTTTTTTTTTATTTCTTACCAGGTAAGGCCCACCACTCAGATATGTAGTTCTTTTATAAGTGACCTGGCCATCAATTAAACTATTTTTATTTATTTATTACCAGGTAAGTCCCACCAATCAGATATGTAGCTCTCTATCAGAAGAGACCTGGACATCAATTAAACTATTTTTATTTATTTATTACCAGGTAAGTCCCACCAATCAGATATGTAGCTCTCTATCAGAAGAGACCTGGACATCAATTAAACTATTTTTATTTATTTATTACCAGGTAAGTCCCACCAATCAAATATGTAGCTCTCTATCAGAAGAGACCTGGACATCAATTAAACTATTTTTTTTATTTCTTACCAGGTAAGCCTCACCAATCAGATATGTAGCACTCTTTCAGAAGTGGCATGGCCATCAATTAAACAGTTTTTTTTTATTTAGTAATAGGTTTTACCTTTTAACTGGCACAAAAAAACCGACACCTTTATTCAAGGCATCGTGTCTGCGATAACCACAACACAAGCAGTCAAAATGCAAACAAAAGTGACAACTCTGATAATGTAAATGCTCACCCCGAGCCCTCAATACTCTGATGGTGCGCTGTTTTTGAGTTGCACGCCTTTTGGCGTCTTCTGGTCCAACACCAGTGGAGACTAAAGGGCTCTAAGAAAAGCCGTCTCGGGTGTGGACCAATCAAATTCAAGGACAGTGCCAAATATCATTATCAGAGTTGTCTCTTTTGTTTGCATTGTGGCTGCTTGTGTTGTGGTTATTGCAGACATGATGCCTTGAATAAAGGTGTCAGTTTTTTGTGCCAGTAAAAAGGGTAAAAACCTATTACTATATCTTGTTACTGGCAAAGGAGGTGTCATAATGTAAAATATGTTTTTATTTCTTGCCAGGTAAAGCTCACCACTGTGCTATGCCGTTCTCTTTCAGAAGTGGCCTGGCCATCAATTAAACTATTATTTTTTTATTTCTTACCAGGCAACGGCCCACGACTGAACGTTGGAGCTTATTTTTGCAGACGCGACCTGGCTGCCACGAGTGATAGCGGCTCAACGACGTCGTCATCATCATCATGATCACGTGGACATTTGTAGCAGCAAAATTAATCTAAATGCGTCTTCCTTCTCAATGTGGAAGGGGAAAAAACCCCGGAGGGCCTAGAGAAAAATCCATGCGACCATCCAATCAATCTAAGCGCACGTTTCTAGTACAGGGGTGACAAGTGTTAGGGGTAGTGGTGACAAGTGTTAGGGGTAGTGGTGACAAGTGTTAGGGGTAGGGGTAGTGGTGACAAGTGTTAGGGGTAGTGGTGACAAGTGTTAGGGGAAGTGGTGACAAGTGTTAGGTGTAGGGGTAGTGGTGACAAGTGTTAGGAGTAGTAGTGACAAGTGTTAGGGGTAGTGGTGACAAGTGTTATGGGTGGTGGTGACAAGTGTTAGGGGTAGTAGTGACAAGTGTTAGGGGTACGGGTAGTGGTGACAAGTGTTAGGGGTAGGGGTAGTGGTGACAAGTGGTAGGGGTAGTGGTGACAAGTGTTAGGGGTAGTGTTGACAAGTGGTAGGGGTAGGGGTAGTGGTGACAAGTGTTAGGGGTAGGGGTATTGGTGACAAGTGTTAGGGGTAGTGCTGACAACTGTTAGGGGTAGGGGTAGTGGTGAAAAGTGTTAGGGGTAGTGGTGACAAGTGTTAGAGGTAGGGGTAGTGGTGACAAGTGTTAGTGGTAGTGGTGACAAGTGTTAGGGGTAGGGGTAGTGGTGACAAGTGCTAGGGGTAGGGGTAGTAGTGACAAGTGTTAGGGGTAGGGGTAGTGGTGACAAGTGTTAGGGGTAGGGGAAGTGGTGACAAGTGTTAGGGGTAGGGGTAGTGGTGACAAGTGTTAGGGGTAGGGGTAGTGGAGACAAGTGTTAGGGGTAGGGGTAGTAGTGACAAGTGTTAGGGGTAGTGGTGACAAGTGTTAGTGGTAGTGGTGACAAGTGTTAGGGGTAGGGGAAGTGGTGACAAGTGTTAGGGGTAGGGGTAGTGGTGACAAGTGTTAGGGGTAGGGGTAGTGGAGACAAGTGTTAGGGGTAGGGGTAGTAGTGACAAGTGTTATGGGTAGTGGTGACAAGTGTTAGTGGTAGTGGTGACAAGTGTTAGGGGTAGGGGTAGTGGTGACAAGTGTAGCGGTAGGGGTAGTGGTGACAAGTGGTAGGAGTAGTGGTGACAAGTGTTAGGGGTAGTGGTGAAAAGTGTTAGTGGTAGTGGTGACAAGTGTTAGGGGTAGGGGTAGTGGTGACAAGTGTTGGGGTAGGGGTAGTGGTGACAAGTGTTAGGGATAGTGGTGACAAGTGTTAGGGGTAGGGGTAGTGGTGACAAGTGTTAGGGGTAGTGGTGACAAGTGGTAGGGGTAGGGACAGTGGTGACAAGTGTTAGGGGTAGGGGTCGTAGTGACAAATGTTAGGGGTAGTGGTGACAAGTGTTAGGGGTAGTGGTGACAAGTGTTAGTGGTAGTGGTTACAAGTGTTAGGGATAGGGGTAGTGGTGACAAGTGTTAGGGGTAGTGGTGACAAGTGGTAGGGGTAGGGGTAGTGGTGACAAGTGTTAGGGGTAGGGGTAGTGGTGACAAGTCTTAGGGGTAGGGGTAGTGGTGACAAGTGTTAGAGGTAGGGGTAGTGGTGACAAGTGTTAGGGGTAGGGGTGACAAGTGATAGGGGTAGTGGTGACAAGTGTTAGGGGTAGTGGTGACAAGTGTTAGGGTTAGGGGTAGTGGTGAAAAGTGTTAGGGGTAGGGGTAGTGGTGACAAGTGTTAGGGGTAGGGGTAGTGGTGACAAGTGGTAGGGGTAGTGGTGACAAGTGTTATGGGTAGGGGTTTTGGTGACAAGTGTTAGGGAAGTGGTGACAAGTGTTAGGGGTAGGGGTAGTGGTGACAAGTGTTAGGGGTAGGGGTAGTGGTGACAAGTGTTAGGGGT